CTGATATGAATACAGTTTGTCCATATAAACTCAAGTAGTAAAGATTCAACATAAGCACACTAAATGCTAACATTTATGGAAATGCTAAATTATAGTCTCTGACTGACCGACTGATGTTACAAGTAGCATTTGCCCTAACTGTAAATAGCTAAACATAAATCAATCATTAATTTGCCTGCTTGAGAAGGAGTTGCAGAGGTGTTGGATCTTATCACAGCAGACTCCAACAAGATGCTGACTTCATGTGTGTATGTTGGCACCCAGCATACACACATGAAGTGTAAACAAATCTACAACATGTCATGCTTACATTCACACCTATTTTCATTTTTGTTTCTTACTTAACTTAGCAGTGGGAGGAAAGCAGAGCAGCAAAAAAGGAAAGACAAGAAATTATCACTCATGCACATTGAGAGCTTGCAAATTCCTCACAGGAAGACAGACTCCTTGTGAGGTTGCAAGTTAGCACTGCTAACCACTTTAGCATCATGTTGCTAACTTCTACAAATTGTAAGTAAAACATTTAAAAGAATGTTTCAAATAAAAATGAAAAACTGGTAAAAATTGCAAATTACTTACTTTTTCCCTTTGTGAAAAGAATGTTGTATTCCACAGTCCTGTCAAAAAAATTATGTTAAATTCAAAGCAGGAAACAAGTTACAAATAATTTGTGTATGCATAATCTGAGCTTGCAAGTGAAATATAAATGATCATCTTGAGTATGAAGAAAGCATCATGTGCAATGGCAAATATACTTTTATAGTCATGCTATTTGCATAATGTTGTTTTTTGAAAACTCATTTCTAAAATGAGGAAAACATTTCACAGGTACAGTGAGTAGCAGAAGGTGGCCTCACCACAAGCTGAAAGTCCACTGGTCCTCTACCACACTCTTTGAAGCTCTACCCCTGCCCCTTATATACGGCCTGGTTTGCTTACAAAGCAAAGCTCCAAGGAGGCTATCCACCAAATATGGTTAGATGGACAGCTGAGTCTTGAGGAGTTTAAAATATTTAGCCTGCATTTGAAGGTAGCTTTCTAGTCTTGTTTAAAGACTGAATGTACTTATAATGTATTTAGAATACTAATAACAACTACAAAAATGTGATTAAGCATGAAAATGTTGAAAAGGAGACTGAGGAATAATAAGTCACATCTCAGGTTTTAAGAGCTTAATGATTATTTCCTTTATAGTTTTGTTTGGCCAATAAAATCCTTTTAGTTCAATCTTTATACTTTACATCAAGGGTGCATGATAAAACTTTGGAATTGTTTCCATCATTTCAAGCTGACAGTCATCAAAAACAGGATGAGTAAATTAGTTTTTTATGTAACTTTTGGTCTCTGAATTTTTCAAGCGCTTTTTTTGTGCATACTTGATCACTTCTTTCCTCCAAATTAATCTGGTTTTTCTAAAGTGACTAGGCGATTATCCTTTTATCCAGATTAGGATACCAATGGTTTTCATACTTATTTTGACAGAAAATGATTCACGTTTTAAAGCTAATAACAAACTTTATTGCAAATGTAAGCCTGAAGAGCATGCTCACAAAAATGTTTTGCAGTTCAATAAGTGGGAGTACAGCGAGCATTTCTAGAACACATGTCAAATATATGGCTAAATATGTAACCATTTTAATAATCATGTAGGCATAAAATGTATCAAATGTAGTTATCGTTGATAAAATTGTGTTTTGTTCACGTTAATGTCACAATTAAAATGCCATGGTAATTGTTCTCTCTTTAACTTTACCAAACATAATTTTCCAGGATTTAAAATTCAACATCCTCCAATCTCATTGAGTCAGTCACATTTTAGAGTGTGTTGGATTTAGCAGTCAGAGTTACAGTTGTCCTCTAACTTGAGCTGCAATGACAAACATATGCTGAGACACACATGCTAAGACTCAGTTTGTAAGTCTGTAAGACACATTTGTTGGGGGGGGCCTCTGTCAAACTCCATCATGTAATCTGAGTAGTTTAAGGTTGGTGTGTGGAGGTGAAAGTAGTTGGCATGTTGTCAAAAAGGGGAGGGTTAAGTCTTGGATAGGTTGCTGACCAAAAAAAAAATTCTGATCAAAATTGAGTACTGCTTTAAATGAGACATTCTGAAAGTGGTAACATGAACGTTTGTATGATGCTACTTTTTTCTGTGCTCAACACGATGTCACTAAATGTGTTTGATTATTTCACATACAAAATCGTAACCCTAACCCAGTACAGAAAATGTGTTAATTATAGATATTAAGAAAAATGTTCAGAACATATCATTTACAGTAATCTCAAGAAGACGAATGGTCATAATAATAAAGTTATTACTACAACTAATAAAAAAAAAAAATATATAAAATGATATTGCATCATGCTCCTCTGGAAGGATCTTACCAAAAAGAATATCCACATTTTTTTTAATTAAAATCAAATTTTTGCCAACAAGCTCTGTTAAAAAATGTTTTTATATTGAACATCCAGGTCAAGGGTATCTCCAATTTGGTATAATACTTACCAAATTGGAAATAAATATGATAATTATACTTAATTTTCAAGTATATTAAGTATAATACTTAATATGCAAATTCAATTTAATTTGATTTTATGTTCAGGGGACAGTTTGCCTCGACAAGGGTTGCAGTGGCTGATTGATGGCTCAAGCAAAGCTCTCCCACTCCAGGGTTTACCTCATTTGGTCAGATGCCAAAGCCGTACTATTGTGGCTGCTTTCAGGATAAACAGTTGAGCGTTTCTATTTGTGTAGCATAGATTCTTAAGTTTTGTCCTAATCATGTATGCTCACCAAACATGACTATTATTTTGCTGAATTCAAGTGGGAATCTTGGACAAAATAATTGTTATCAACCAATGAAAGATTTCTTTTTTGACTTTCAGAATTGATTCCCAAGTAATACACCAATATGAGGAAAAGCTACTATCTTTGTGTAGATAACATTTGTACAAGCCAGTTGGCATTGATTACAAGTCCATGAATCCTTCAGTATTGTAATAAACATGTGTTGACATTTTATATTAGGTGTTTTTTTGTAACTCTCTTAACACAAGTTGTAAAGCATCTATCTTATTACGCCGGCTCACTGTAATAGGATATGTGTTGGAGTACTGAGAGGAGCGAGAGAAGCTGGGAGGTCAGGTGGTGTACTGTGGTGGAGGCAGTTTTGACACTGAAGGCAGTTGTTGAAGCTTCTGTAAAAAGCTCATCCACTCATTAGTTACCAAATTGAGATAGAAAATGTGGAAGATCTTTGACCAATTATGGCATAAGCTATTTGTGACCCCCCCAAAAAAAATTGTATAAAGTCTGAGAGGTAATCAGCTCAGAGAGAGAGAGCATCTTGTTTGTCAGGTCCCGCTGAGAGCACTTACAAATCTATGCAGCAGAACACGCAATTTCGTCATAATATTTTATCATTATGGGGATCTTGATTGTTGTGGACTTCTATATGAGTCACAATGTTATCATTACGAACAACCAACATTACGCCTAGTCATCTTTTTTACAGCATTGATTTAAAGTTATAAAATGGCACATTTATGTCTGTCCACAGATCTCACTTGACATGATCTCACAGGACTGTCTGTGTCGCTTGAAATCTAAAATTCCTCATTTTCCAAGCACTGTAATATACTCTGAGAGAGGTTTCAGTCTCCATTAGAAACTTCGACAGAGTTGCACACTTGTCCTCTAAACCGGGTTGCAGGAAGAAACACATGCTAAGTCTCTCTAAGCACCATTTATCGGGGCCCTCTGTCGGGGGCCCTCTGTCATATATCAAGTAATCTGAGTAGCAAGGGTTGCTGTTTACTGAACTGTGCTCAAGTTTTACTTGTACATTATGCAAGTATTTGCTTGAGCTTCTAGTCTTTAAATGAAACAGGAGCTATGTGGTGGATATGGAAGCTGGGAATCAACAAGGCATTCTGTGATGTTTCATGTGACCATAACTGACCCCTATCAGAGCTCAGCTGGACTAAATAACCAGTGCTGGACTGGTGGCTGTGGATTTTTTTGCTCAAACCAGCCTCTTACAACCGAACCTGTCAAGCAAAACACACCTGTAGCCTTAACCATCCCTGTGATCCCTATAAATCTGCATGTTTGTAATTATTCCTCAGAACCACTTTAAAGCTGAAACATAAGCAGTGGTCAGAAGCCTCTGGGTAAAAGAAATCCTTACTCAAGAAGTAGGCCTACGTATAGCCTTCCCTACGTCTTGTGCACGGTTTCCCCTCCGCTATACCTTGTTACACACCTGCTCCTCTTGTTCTCTGTATGGCGGTGACCCCCCCCCCCCCCCCCAACCTGAAGATTCATGACAGTCAGTAGCTGAGTGCAGAAGCCTACTCTAAGAACTGCAGAGTCTCTTGGACTTTTTGCAGCATATTGACTGAGTTTTTTGACCATACTCCACTATTTTCTGTTGCATAAAGGCTACATCTAGTTTCGATGATGACGTTTCATTTTATTCAGTATTGTAATAATCCGTCATTAAAAACAAAACTTTACTTTCTTAAGTATTAACTTCACATACGTTGTCATCACAGATCTACTACAGAGGATTAGGGCTCAGAATTCTGAGATTAAAGTCAGAATAAAAAAAATAAAATCAGAAACAATTTTTTTCAGTGGCCCTAATCCTCTTCCGTACAGATCTACCCCCAGACATAAGATGTTTACCGTTTTATCACTTCCGTGAGATCCATGCAATTTCTTCAAGGTTTTTTTTTTTTAAACCGGCGGTAAATGCCCAGTAGGCTATGCTAGATTACCAGTCCAGCCTGCTGCACAGACCTATTGCCTAAATGTTATGTTATGTTATTATGTCTTGCCAGAAACGAATTACATCTCTAATCGAAACAATTCAGTTGTTAAACAACTTGTCCCTTCTTTCGTTCCTCCGCAATCATTTTCTGGCAGTTAATTTTTTTTGAATACAAGCTGCTGCTGCACAAAAACGAAACCAAAACTATGATACCGTCACCCTTTAGTTTCGTTTTAAAATAATAGAAACGCTGACTGCAGTGGGCTAAGCAGAATACGACAACAGCATATGGTGAGTATTTATTTTATATATCGTTGTGAGCTAACTTTTAATTCATAGAGTTTCAAATTCACCGTTCAATGCAGCATGTTTGTGTTCAGCTGCAGATGAAAGAGTCGGTAACCTACCACGCGACACTTGTTACCTTAAATGACCTCACTTTACCGCAGGACAGGCAGGAGAATATCCTGGTAGGGTAAAGCACAATGTCATGTTACTCGGTGCAAACAAGGCATGTCAACTGTAAAAAGGTTTCAAACGTATTTTAAATATAACCACAGTCTTTCAACTACATAAAAAAACGTATAAAAAAAGTGCAGTAGCCTACAAACGCACACGCCACTCTTCTTGACTGCGATTGAAACTATTTGAGAAACTGTTTGTTTATCTACCGCAGTATAGGCCTACCCAAAATATGGTGATATGTAATAGTAAAGCGTTTAACTTTCTAACTAAAGAAAAGACAAATAAATATACATTAATAAGGCAAATTTGAGATACAAGTGCCGACCTATGACGCCTACTTTGATGTCGTTAGACAAGCTTTTGTATATGAACATCTCCCATTGACTTGTTAAAGAAGTCAAATATTGCCTATTAATAAAGTTTTGTATATTAAATCCTTTGAATTAACACAGGAGCAGTAGGTTGGCCGACTGATACATGAGAAATGGACGTGCCCACTTATGCATATCCACATTTTGAACTGTGGCTGTATAGATAGGCTATATAATTTGTATCAGTGGTCAAATTTGCCTTATTAATGTATCAGTGGTCAGGTTACGTTTGTTTCACACTCACAGCCTTTTTTATGTCGACATTTTCCTTATTTATCGAAACAACAAGGATTCAAAGCAGCTCCCAGTATGTTTAAATGGTTATGTGTATGTGTTGTTGGACCTCCAAAACATTTCCAAATAGTTTAATAACAGTTTTATTGGTTTAACATGAATGTTTGTGTTCATGACTTTCACTTTATGTGCACCAGCTGATGGAGGCTGACCATGGATGAGGAGGTTGACCCTGACGAAGATAATGTGAACTCCGTCTTAGCTCAGGAATCCTCTGAACTGTTCCACATCCTAAAAAGTCAGTCACCTGAAGTTATAATGCAGTTGTGCCAAATGATGCCCAATGAAGCTGGGTGGAGCATCAACCATGCAGACCCTTCCGCACAACATATCAAATCTATGTTGGAACACTTCAGGTTGGCCAATGCGGCAGAATGTCGCAACTTCCTTCAGAGCATGTGCCTGTTGTGTGAAAATATTCCCATGCACCTGGAGTCTAGGCTCATGTCAGTGGCTGGATATGCAAATAGTGAGTATAAAATGGTGCTATAAATGTTTTTAAAAAGTGATGTTAATCCTTGTCTAGTATTTTTGATACTCAGTGGAAACAGTTTACTATGAGAGAGATTCCTCAGTCCCATTGATCCTGAATGAACTACAGTGTCATGTTGCCTACACTCCACTACATGGAGTGCAAAACAGGCCGTAAACGACAAAAGAGGTCACACATAGCACATGTTTCATTCATGACTCACACATGTCAAAATATTCTCACATATTTGAAAATAGATCAGAGTGTTGAGAAAAGTACGGTATATAGTACATGGCACGAAGGATGTTAAAGAAAAGGTCATGGGAATGTGCAGTAAAGAGAACCTTTAAAAAATGCACATTAGCTGTGGCTTCATTTTTCTTAATGGGTTTAAATTTTCTTTTCTTTTTCTGGTCTAGGTGCCAGAAAAGATTTTAATACAGATTCAACACAAATGTCATGTAACCAAGTGAACTTGACTAACTAGTCTACTCGTCTCTTAGTTTGAGTAATATTTAAACTGTCTGCACATGCTTGCTCTTTGGAGTAAAACTCTTAAACGCTGTTAAAACAAACCTTTCCAAGAGGGACAGTCCTTCATGGTTGTCATCCTTACTGGTATTTCATTTTTCCTTAACACCATAGATGCTTTGCATTGTTTACTTCACTACATGGAGCATTGTACATTTGTGAAATCAATAGATAATTGCTTGCCTATATTAGTAAAAAAAAACATGTGTTTGTGCTTGGCCAGGGTAACAGTATGTCTCTCTGTGTTTGACTTTGCAGCTGATGTCACACAGTGTCCATCCACAGAGCCAGCGTCTCAGAGTAACACAGGTAGTTAATGTTTGTTTGTCATAATTTCTGTAAGGCAACATATACTGTATATATGTTTGTTTTGTTCTTACTTGATCATTGGAAAATTATAAATCTTGCTTGTGCTCAGCTACACTCCAATGTGTGAAAACAAAGATAATTTCATCTGTTGACTTCGTGTGTTTTATTTACTTACTTTCATACACATCCAATCATTTTTGATTACATCTCTCAATACCCTAGAAAGTTTGTTTCCTCTTTTGTATGTGTACATGTTGAGCACAACCAAAGCGGCTCACAAATTAGTCAAGTGATCTGTGGTGGTCATATTGTAAGTGAAAGTTGTTTCTCTTCATTTTGAATCATTTTCATTGTAGTGTCCCCTCAGCAGGCACTGCAATGAAAATTTAATCATGTTTGGAAAACTGAAAGTGAAAAGCAATTAGTCTGGCACTGATCATCATGTGCTCAGTGAATCTTATGATTTTGTCTTTTGTTTCACTGTGGGAATCCCCAGAATCTCCTGCTGATTTAGAAAGTAAAAGTGAGGGCTTGTAAATGGTATGCAACATATGCAGCATGTTTGCAGTGCACTTGATACTTGTTTTTTTTACTGACTTGTATGTTTGGTACGTGTGTTTTTTTCTGCAATGAAGTTGCCCAGGAGTATTCTAAGTCCAGTGAAAATAATGAGAAGCCATCTTCGCCTTCTTCATTGCAGCAGCTCATCAAACGCCCACGGATTGGTAAAACACAAACACTCAACCCTTCAATCTTGTTGCAGTGCAGCTACATTTTCATGCACAAATGAACCTTGTAAATGGTCAATCACTCGTTAAAGTTTGAGGAGTTATTGTGGGTACAAATGTTGCAGAGTTGCCTTTGTGGCCTCATTGACATTTGCTGTCCTGTAACAAAAGCTCTATGTACTGCTATGTCCTTTTACTATAGCTGTATATACATTAACAAGCACATACAGTACCTTTTTAGTTTATGTAGGTATCAATTAATACTTATCTTTAAATATTTATTATGTATACATCTATGGTAAAAGCACTGTGATTTTGTGTGTGTGTTTGCCTGCCCAGTGAGATAGCAGTGACAGAGAGAGACATCACTTTATCAAGCTCTCACAATAAAATAAATGTTGCCTGTCACCCTTGTGAAGACGAAACCATTTACATGTAAAATGAGTTTGTGCAGACATTAAAACCCAAAGGATGTTTTCATACCAGGCTCTTGTGTTAATGTGAGAGTACTCCAGGCATCTCAGCCATGGTGATCTTTTAGTACTGGGTATTCAATTACCAGGGTTAATGCAGCGCACTCATCTTTCCTGCTGAGCCAAAACAAGCTTGCTAAAAAAAACTGAAGAACCAACTGCCTGTGCATTTCATGCAAAAGATAAACACCTGATTGAGCATTTTTTTTAGGCTTTGAGTGTTTTGGATTGAGTGAGTCATTTTATTAGAAAGACACACTCTTACGGACACTCATTGTTTTGCCTTGAATTATGATGTCTACTCGAAGTCTATCTTTTACTTTAAATATTAGGGAAGTGTTGTGTGTGTGTTTGAGTGTTGATGTGTGTGTCTTACATAGGAACAGAAAATCCCTGTATAACGGGAGTTTTTAAGTGTTGATATAAAACATTGACTGTGCAATGGATTCTGCCACAGATCACTGGGAGCAGTACATCATTTCAGTGAGGAGTTTATTGCTGAGGAAGTGGGAGCGACAGCGCCAGCTCCTGGTGCAGGATGTTCAACTTGAGAATGTGTGGGTAAGCCCGAGAATATCAAACCGAGGCAGAGACAGACCTGATCAAACCCCTGAATCCACAGACAGAGGGAGCAGAACACCAGGTTAGTAGACATTCTTCCTCTTATTGTACACCGGGAATATTCTGTCAATTTGAAGTTATTTTGAATTCTTAATATTTGTATGAATAATTTAATACAGTTTAATGTAGCACCCTTTTAAACTTTGTTACAGCGCTCTACAACAGCGCTGTAACAAAGATCCACTGTCGTTAAGCATTTGTACTTCCACATTTTATTATTATAATAATAATAATAATAATAATACATTTTATTTATAAGTGATTTTCAAAAACTCAAAGACACTTTACAATAGTTAAACAAAACAGAAAGAACAGCACAGTAAGGACAGATTATGCAACATGATAATACTTGTGTCATGAGTACACATTGTTGTGTAAGGGTGCACTCACACTAGGCAAAGTTGTCCAGTGCTTAAGCATGATTGTCCCTCACCCCCTTTCCCCTGCTGGCATGCACTCACTCTTCTCCAGGACTCACCGGGGCTGAATACATGAATACATACCTCTTGTATATAACTTCATAATACAACACATGAACAGCTTTATACGTAATTATAAAGCGCACTCAGTTTACAAGACAGGTAGACTCAAAAATGAAAAAAATAAAAGGGACACTTGGTTGAGTCCACATCCAAACATCTGAGAACAACACAGTGAACATGACAGATACTTTACTGACTTTGTGTCTTATTTTGAGTCATGTTAATCAGATACAGACAGAACACTGTTGGATGTCTCCATAATGAAGGCTGTCCACTTTGTGTACTCGTGCTTGTGCTCGTGCATGAACTGTACCATGCCAAGGCACACCTCTTTCAAGCGTGCCAGGGGCGAGGAAGTGTACAGATTTGCACTCTTACTAGTCACATGAACTGGACTTCAGGGGTGAAGCATGCTTAGGCACAGTGCAGATTGCTAGTGTGAGTGCGTCCTAACAGCATAGCACAAATAAGAAAGTCACTTAGTGTAAACAAAAAGTGGGAGCTTCACACAAGGCCGCCCATAAGGGGGGATAAAGGGGAAAGCTTTCTGGGGCCCAGTCATATGGAGGGGGGGCTGATTGAGGTTAGCAAAAACACATGGTACATTCTAATTTTAAGCGACAATGACCACATTTTTTTTTACACCTGAATACTCACCATTACCTCTTAAAGCAACAAAAGATACATTTTATTTAATGTTGCTTCAGTGAAATGTAGCCTGTTTCTAAATGTAAACCCCATCTTCTTAGAATGATATGAGCCCTTTTATCTTGTTATGTTATCAACATAAGCAGGCCCAGTAGACTTTATTATTATGCCAGTTATGTTGCAATCAGAATATCCATTCAATGACTTGCACAAAGTTAAGATGCCAGAAAGAAAAAGAAAAAAAGAGGCGCAGGCTCGGGCATTTGACCCCAACTAGGACTTGTTTACAAACTTATTTCGGCTGGTGGGAGCTAATGTTAGCCTGGAGGCTAGCGCTAACCGTAATGATCGAATGTGCATACATTGACTTAAATGATATCCTGGGAGGGCCCAATCACTTGGCCTTTTTGGGGCCCAGCCATTTCAGTGGGCGGGCCTGGCTTCACATACATGATCAGACACATGTACATACACACAGAGCACTATTCTGCGCTACATCGCCACAGGCTCCCCCCTGTTTCGCCTCTAATACTTCTTGCAATGACAGATAGGTGGCAGAATGACTTGGCTGCACCGTTCCACTTCCATGTGTTACATGGCTCACAGGGATGTAAATATCCTGCCATGAACTGCAATGTGTAAGCGACAATTTGATGCATGCAAAAACTGACATTAAAACGAATGCATCTTCTATCGTTCAGCCTGCTCTTACTGACATGATGCTTCTCCTATCATGAATACTTTTGAATCTGCTTTAACTGAACTAAACATTTTATCCACCAAACTTAGAGCCTGATGTGGATTTTGGGTCTTTGGAGGCCAGAGTGACTTTGGAGACCTTCCTTCAAGGATGTGTAGGAAAGGTGACAGTTCTCCTCGGCCAGGCTGGATCAGGAAAAACTCTGCTGATGTCTTGTTTAGGACAGCAGTGGGCACATGGATTAGTAAGTCTACATTTCACATAAATACATATTAGTGGGTATCCCTTTAATTTAAATGGAGCCTTAGTTTGTTTCTTGTTTTCCAAATGTTTTCAGTAAATGTATTTAATTCTCTTGATCATTCATCCTCCCTCTCTCTGTTCACCCAGGGCCCCATCCCTTCATCCTCCCTCTTTGTCCTGCTAGAGTTCCGTCAGCTAGCCCTACTGTCCCACCCTCTCTCCCTGTTCGATCTGCTCTTCCATCACTACCTCTTTCCAAGAGAAGACGATAATGAAAAGGTAGGCTGTAGTAATATGACAGCAGTACCTTAAAGGGATACTTCACCCGTTGAAACATGAATCTGTATTGACATTTGGTCAGTAGTAGAAATGTGAAATAAATTTTGAAGTTGGTGCCTTCAGATATATGCATACCTAAAAGTCACCATTTTTCTGGTTCGAGTTTGGTTGAATTAGACAGCCAGTACAACTTCTGTGTTGTTTTGATAGCTTGTATAGTTAGTACTAGCTTTGTTACCACCATGACGTAAGATTTTATTTATCATGTTTATTTTCTTGAAAAGGCAGAAAGTGTCTTTTTGGCTCATGTGGATGAAAGACAACAACTCCCAGAATGCACAGCACTGCAGGCCACTCCCACTAAGGTCTTCTACAGACATTTACTACAACAGATAAGGCCGTTTCCTCAACTGATTCCGAGATTTCTTCCAGAAGGAATTGGTATCTTGGAAATTCCTGGCAGAAAACACATACTATACAACTAGTACATACTGATTTGGTCGAAATGCAGTATGCAGTATGCGAACAGCTGCGAGATCCGCAGTATGCCAAAAATACCAGGATGTCATACTGATTCGGGAAAAATGTACAGTATGCATCGGACCAGTCTACCTCGCGTACTGTTTCCCACAATGCAAAGTGCCAGGTCAGAGATCAAAATGCCAGAGCGCAGCTGTTTGAACTCGTCCGTGGCGGTGACTGAATATCTTGCCACATTATGGGCATGAATCAATAACAAATATGTTGGTTATATTTATGTTCATATATTTATATGTCTTACCACCTCAGATGTTCCTGCTTTGTAGACTGTACAGTGCATGTGCCACAGCTGGACCAGCAGCTGCAGTTACAGGGTCCTTGGCTTGCTCTACATATTATTCACAGCTGAATAAAAGTTCAACCTGAATGTTTGAAAAGCATACTACAACTTTAATAGCATGCCAATCATATTTCAACCCAGGGCATTGTGTATAAATGGCAGAATATATGAGAGATTGTAGACTTGTTTTATTTTAATTATGTTAATTACCTCCAGATGGGCCGTTGTTTACTTCCGCATTCCAGGACCGGAAACCAGTTTAACCGTGCCAAGCATACTGCAAAATAACTGACGACTGGCAGTCATACGACATACTACTGTTGAACGCAGTACGCAGTACGCAGTATGCAGTATGCAGTATATACTGCATACTGATTTAGATAGTAGTATGTAGTACGCGGTTTCGAAAACAGCCTATGTCTGTGTCCATAGGCAAACAGTGAGAGCACCGACACTACCAGTCCGCCCAGCTTGAGCCGGCCCGGGCTCCTCATCCTCACCGCCATCGGCTCGGCTGCTGTGTGGCCAGCAGCCGCAGCAGCTGAGCCAGTGGCGGTGGCCTGCAGCCGAGGCATAACACCCGTCTGTCGGCAGCAGCTGCCTCGCTGCTATATTGCGGTTCGTAGAGATAGCCACGAGCATCCGATTCGAGCACAAGACCTTCAAAATCCCCTTCATCCACATCAGTTTGAAGTTGAAACATACTTTTTTAACCATTGTCGGTTCTTGATGAACTCTTTTACGTACTGTCCACTGTGACTGGTGGTTTAAAAAAATAAATCAGTCACTCATTTGTCTTACCTGCCACTTAATTTTAAACAGCAGCATAATGTAATGACTTATATAATTAAATCAAGGCTTACAGTATTGAACAGGCATTTTATGAAGGAAGATGTTTCAACTATTAAATAAAATACTGGCATGCTCTTTGTCTCACTCAAAAACAGAAAAAAAGTTTATTTCAGTTTATTATTATTATATTATTATAGGCTGGTTAGAGTTTCCAATGCAGCCGTGTCCTCAAAGGGTAACTCATTTAGCTGATGAGAGGAAAGATAATCTATTTGTTGTTTTTAAATCACTGTTACATTACTTTTATTTACCAGCCACTGTGACTGCTAAATTGAGCAAATTACACCGTCACTGCAAAAAAAACACCCGTATTTGGCGGATGACAGGTGATAATTTCCAACCCCGTAGGCCACTATTGTTGAAGTCTGCATGAAACGGAACTTCAAGAGTATCTAACTGCCGTACCGTGATAGTGAAGTGGGATAGAACCAATCACAAGATATAAGGTGGGACATAACGTCGGGATGAATTTGATTAGCTTGTTAGTTTCTACAAAGTTTTTTAATTTTGTTGAAAAATTTGTAAAAGCCCACAAGTGCAGGATGATTCATCAGACGATTGATACATTTCTTAAAAAGAGAAAAGACAGTTGTTTTGATTGGACAGTATTCAGAAAATGCTTTACTGAATAGATTCGGCAGATACATCAACATTTAACACAGGAAAATGTATTTTTTCATTTCATGGGGACTTTAAGCTCAGCTAGGTGAACTTTTCATTTGTTTCTTATATTTACATTTTATGTATATTCTTACTTCTGGGCAGCAAGCAATTGTGGACTACATCCTCTCCAATCCGGAGCAAAGCTGTTGGGTGCTGGATGGTTACGATGAGTTTCACATCAAACTCAACAAACCAGAAGTGCAGAGAGAGCCGTGGGACCCAACAAAACCTCACCTTGTTAGTGACCTCATCTCAGGGCTGTTAAATCGTCAACTTCTTCCAGGGTGCACCGTGGTGGTCACCTGCCGTGTACGGGATGTCCTGGATTTGGAAGGCGTATCAGATAAAGTGGGTCAGCTGTTGGGGTGGGACCACCAAGAGGTCGAGAAGTATGTGCACAACTTCTTTGACGTAAAAGGTAAAAACATGCATGCTTTTTATGTTTGCTTTATGATAAATGTCATTCTTCAGAGTCAGCTTAAACACATACTGCACTGTTTCGCTTTAGCTCAGTTTCTTCTTCTGTTTATTGTTACATTTTACTGAGCGGAGGTTTTGATTGTATGATGTTTGGTTTTTCTGGTTGCATATTTTAACTAGTTCTCAGTCCATGTTTCAGGCATGCCATCGGCATGCCATCTCTTGCTGATGCATTCAAAGTGCCAAAGTGCTTTATGGGAAATGTAGGACCCAGTGTTTTTGGAACTTGAGCCTTTTTTGAGGAACAGTCACAAAATAGTCTCTAATGATTAGGACCGTCTAAATGATCTAGACTAATAGCTATATTCAGTGTACTTCAGCACTATGTGGACCAGTTTGGATTGGTAAGGATATCTAAAGTTTATTTGGCTATGGTATAACTGCGGTAGAATTAGCTTTAAGCAAGCATTGAATGTGTCGGCCAGTTTGAAAAAATTGTTTTGCGTTGAAATGATTAAATCCGACTTCCTCATTTACATTTTGCCTTTGGCCTTACAAGCCTTCACACGTGCTTTAAGTTAATGGTGTTGACCTCTGATCACTTTGAAGTTGGGGTCAAGTAGACATGAGGTGCACTAAAACTTGGACAGTGAGGGGAGATGTCAATCATGCTCAGTCTGCAGAAGAGGGAAAAAACATGTGTTGGTACATCTTGAATTTATTAAGGCTTACACGTATATATGTGTAATATACTGCAGATTTTTAGCCTGTTTGGACATGATCAGTCTAAAATCTATCTGTTTCCGTTCCGCTCTCAGATTCATTGAGCTGCAAATTGCAATGCAATGCACACAAGGAGTTATTTCGCACCAGGCCTCATGATCAAATTGCCTGTTCTTGTTTTACATCTGCGCTGTCTATATGCAGGTGTGCACTCCCTCTCCCTCCCTCTCTCTCTTTCTAGTATTTAATAAATATTTATGTAATATTCTTGGATTACGATTGGACACTGAAATCATGAATCCTCAGTGTGTGAGTAAAAAGTTTTGACCTGACGTGAGACTTCTTACTTTGAAGGAAATACTATAGGTCAATGCATATTGATAATTAAGACGAGATGTGAAACGAGTTATAACAGTATTTTCAGATGCAAATACTGTCAACAAGGCAGCAAGAGAGACTGCAAGAAAAAGCCTGATTGATAAGTCACCAATTGTAGTAATTTCTCAGTCATTCATAATTCCTTCAGTAGTCAAGGAGAATGGAGCTGAAAGAGTGGAACAGTAAACTTCTCAGTTTCTCTTATTTGATAGATTATTTTAATCATTCAACTATAGATTAAAAAAGAACGTTATTGGCGGTGTCTAGAATGTGCAATGTTTCCCCTACCATTATACATTATATTATTATATATATATATTTTTTTAAGATTTATTTTGGGGCTTTTTGTGCCTTTATTGTAGGGATAGGATAGTGGATAGAGTCGGAAATCAGGGGAAGAAGTAATTTAAGGATACCTTTCCAATAGACAGCTGTCATTAAAAGTAACACATGAACACCAAGATTCCTTCAAGTGTTTGGTGTTTGTGTCGGCATGTCGGCGTGTCCCCCCCCCCCAACGCTGTAAACCTAGGGGAAACACTGATGTGAAATTAATGCAAAAAATGCAATTCATGTAGATAGATGATTGATATTTGCTTTGCAAGCCTTCACACATGTTTCAAGTTATTGGTGTTGACCTCCGCTCAGCTTGAGTCTGCCTCAGCTATGTCTGGCATTAGACATGAGGTGCAATTAAACTAACAGGGAAAGTGAGGCTGGATGTCAGTCATCCTCAGTCTCAACACGCCTACACAATCGTGAAGATGTCAGATCAATAAGAGAGAACAAATCTGTGTTGGTCTATCTTAAAATTTAAAAGTTAGTGGTACTGATCCAAGCGGCTGCTAATCAAAGCATGTATTAGCATTCCAGCATCCTGTAGTGTATTTTTGCAATATGCCTAAGATTAAAAAAAAGTGATGTTTTTGAAACCTTGTAAAACGGCTCATAAAGTGTCTCTACTGCATATGTCTCCAAGCCAACCCAGGTCTTGCGGCGCAGGCAGCAGATCTTCTACTCTCAAATCAACACCTCATTGCAATGTCATCTGTCCCAGCCCACTGCAACATCTGTTGCATCTGTCTGGAGCACTTACTGCTGGAAGAGAGAGTCCCAGGAGAGACACAAATGCCAGAAGAAAGTGGAAGCGAGACATGGACAGCTAAAGGCAATGAATTAAAAGGAGGACAGATTTCAGGAGGAGGAAAAGGAGCAGAGGGCAGTCGAGGAAGGAGTCATGAAGAAATGCAAGATCACAAAGGAAGAAGAAAAAGTGTTGACAATAGGATGGATGGGATTAATGGTAGAGCTCAGCTGCCTCTCACACAAGCCCAGATGCCTTCCACCCTTACACAGGTCTACCTCACTGTTTTTAGTGCTTTTCTGCGCCGTGACCCTGACAAAGAAGGAAAAAAAGACAAGCTGGAGAACACAAGACCTTACCAAAGGTGAGTTGAGCTGAGGTAATGAACACACAATCACTCGCAAGACATACTTATAGAATATTAATAAATCAGATTGACAAATGTGATTTGTCACTGTTTAATTCTTTGTAGTAATCTGTAATCTAGATGAGATTGATGCCTCGTCCATCCACACGTATTTAGGTACACATCCAGCTGGATAGCTCTTTGGCTGATAGGAGCAGGACTGTAAAGATCTGAAAATCTGGAAATGACAACCTGATAATTCTGCCAACCTGCCAATCCATCTGACATTTACAGAATACGTTTAAAGTAATAAAAATCGCCAAGTCCTTTGAAAGAGGGTCCATCTTAAATATGAACACTGTAGCCGAAACATCAAACCATTTTAGATTTGTGCCCTCAGTTTTCACTTTTAAATGATCTTTGAAATACTTATACAAATGCAGTGAATATTTTGTGGGTTCAATGACAATCAAATTGAAGTTAATACAGCTGTATTTTTTTGTCTCCTTTGTGTAGTGTTGCTTGCACACTGAGTCAGTATCAATCAGAGTTGTGTGAGCTGAGTCATCTGGCTTGGAAAGGCTATAAGGACAACAGGATCCTGTTCATGGAAGAAGAGATTTCCCGACCGGTTTTGGAGTTGTCTATCAGGGTGGGGCTCTTTTCACAGGTCAGACATGGTTATACAGCATGCTTAAATGCTCTTTACATATCTGTGGTGTGCAATGAATCCTCTGAGCCTAGAGAGCTATATTTGTCATTGGAGAAGGTAAAGTTTTAGGCGGGAGGGAGTGTGTGTGTGCTCTTCAAGATTAACAGCAAGGCCTCATGTTGTCTCAAGAGTGCGTACAGATTCATACCCTGTATGTTTTTGTCTGTCTGAGAAATATTCTACAATATCCTACGCAAGGATATGTAACATGTAGATTGCAGGAGGCAATGGTTGAACAGAATTTTTTTTCTAATTTGAGGGTAACCAACTATTTGTCTGAATCTCAGAAACCCAGAGAAAGAAAATGTATTCCATATGTTTTTGTCACATGTTTGTCCATATTTTTTTGTCAGATTTTTGTTCATGTTTTTTTGTCAGATGGAGGTCAGGCGTGAGGATGGCATGCTTGTCAACTCCTACTTCTTCATTCATCTGACATTACAGGAGTTTTTAGGGGCAGTCAGAGTCATGACAAGTCTGGATGTTAGTGACACGCAGCTCAAGAAGAGGTAAGAATTAATAATAATTTAAATAACTTTATTGATATAGCATGTTTAAAAAACGAGTTACAAAGTGATTTACATTTAAAACAAGCCAAAAATAATAAAAATAAATCAACAAATAAATAAAGCAAATAAACAGGTAAATACAACCCAAAGATCAATTAAACATATATAACTACCAAACTCCATTCGATCTGCAGAGTCCCTTTGCATCTTTAAGAAAATGCTAAAGACCCAGCTCTTTCATGAATACCTACTAACTTAATGATGATGATAATGATGATGATGATGATGATGGTCTCAATATTATTGATGATTGTAATGACGATAGCGTTGATAATGGCGACCTTTAAGATGGTTTCTATACTGATGAGAGCTCTCAAGAACTGCCGTCAATGTTGTGTTTTGACTCTGTGTAATGCTTGTCAGCACCTGTGTGTCCAATCAGACTCAAAGCTGATCGTTTGCTCTTACTGACATTGTTCCCTTTTTTCTAGCTCCTTGCTTGTGTTGTTCTTACTCTCTGATGTATGTCGCTTTGGTTAAAAGCGTGTAATAAGTGAATTGTAGAATATATAAATAAAAACCGGGTAAAGAAGTACACGAAAACGGTTAAGACATTTTTTTTGCTTTTATTGGATAGGACAGCTGAAGAGTGACAGGAAATAATGGGCTAAGAGAGTGGGAAAAGACATGCAGCAAAGGGCTGAGGTCAGATTCGAACCCTCAACCAATGTGATACCTTTCAGACATGGGGTACTCGACATAAGATGACTACTAGGCCATCCTAGCGATGTTTAAGATGAGTTTCAAAGAGGACACAAAGTTTGCCTGCATGACATCTTTTTTGAAGGGAGATCCACACGAACTGAAAAGGCTCGGTCGGACTCAAAACCAATAGTTTGATTGAGCAAAGCAAGACTTTGGTCACCTGGGTATCAAAAGATAACTCTTAGTCAAAGATGACCCCTAGGTTGTGGGCCTCTTTGCAGACATTATCAGATAGAGCACCCAGACTGAGGGAGAAATTATTAATTTAGAGTCTTTTGGCTGCAAAAAAATAAAATAAAATTGACATCCTACTTGTAAGTTCTGCCAGAGAGGACATGATTTGTGAAAGATCAGAGGTGCCAGGTTTGAACTGGGCGTAGAGTTAAGTGTCATCAGCATAACAATGAAAGTCTGTGCCGTGCCTATGCAGGATTTGCCACAGGGGGAATATGTAAACTGAGGGTACCCAAAACAGACTCCCTGGGAGACCCCTAAAGAAAGAGGAGTATAAGTCCAGTTCAGTGCCACATCACTGATGCCAACAGTGTACTTCAAATGGCTGATTAAGACATTGTGGTCCGCTGTATCATAGTAAAGCCCAGAGTCAGCTGCAAGCACAAAATCATTAGAAACTTTAACAGGAGCTGTCTCTGTGCTAAGTTAGGAGCAGAACCAGATTGACATTTTTTTAAAATCCGATTGTTGTTCATAAAAGAACTCAGCTGAGTCTAAGATCTAAGATGAGGGGGGTGGGTCTTCAGATCGGTCTTAAGGAAGACCAAGTCTGCAATGAAGTGTATCACCACATGAGATGAAGGGCCCTAACCCTTCATCAGACATCAGCTGGGATCCAGCGAAAAGGGTTCTTTGAAGGGGGGTAGAAAGAAAGATCAGATGGCCTTTCTACAGTTGGAAAATGAGGCTCCATTAATCAGCAGTAACCAGTGCACTTTGCTCAGGCCTCTGAATTGAATTAAACATAACTTCTGTGAGCCAAAACCTCAGTTGACCTTTTACAACATAATGAAGATGCTGTGCATGTCCTTCACATCTCCTCTGAAGGAACCTATCAATTATCAGCTTAGCCAGCTACTAGAAATAGATGTACATGAACAGTGCAGCCTGTCCTGGATAACCCAATCGCCTGCATACCAGCACAGAGCTTTACTCGTCCACGTATATGCATGAAACTTTATCTCTTTACACCGGTTATGCTGTTCTCACTTTTATGCCGTATGATCTTTGCTTGGAACAAATTATCAGAGAGAAAGGCCGTGCTGTGTGTGCACTGCTACTAAAATAAACCTAGCTTATACAAACCTCTCATTAGAGACTATTTAAATTATAATGTTAATTTGCCACAAGTCCTACATTAATGTCAGTATAGTACAGAATAAACAGACGTTGGTTCACACTAGTTTGTTTTAATAACAAAGCATCACTTTTTATATGCTCTTCATATTTGTTGTTTGTTTTGGAAAGTTAATTTCTCTCTCCGAACCAGAAATAAACTACATGCAGGCGTGAAAAAAGATGAGCTATTTCAATTCAGGGAGCTATGTGACATTTCTGACCTATCTCCGTAGAAGGAGAGTAGAAATATGCTGATGTTGAAACAAAACAGATGGTCCAATCACAGGAGTGGAGCCTCAGGAGGTCAGAAAAAGGGCTGACAGTGATGCATGACACAGCAGATGTTACACAGCAGGAGGGACCACTTTCACTCAATAAAGCCTTACTTTGTAAAACCATATTGTAAATGACACATTTTTCAGGTTGGATAATATGAAATAGATTGTGTCGCTATGACTTCACCATCAATGCAGTGGTTAAATACGAATAATCTCTAATGTGCACAGGATTAACAGGCTCTGAAAGTGTGCTATAAAACCCTGTTTAAAGCCCTTTAAGCAGGGGTTGACATTAAGGTAAATTTGCCAATGGCCCTCCGGGCCACTACTTTTTAGAGATCACTGGCCCAACCATTGTAACCGCTGACCCAGGAACTTTACTTTTGATTCGAAAAAATAACAGTCACCAATTTACTCTTGAACCATTCTGATGCAAAAGTCAGTTACAACTTTTATTTAATTAATTGAGCTCTAATTATAAAAATATTTTGTATTTTTCTTACATTTATGTGCTCATGTTTATTCACCATGCTGGTAACTGTAAGAGTCTACTTAATCTGATATTAATATGAGGCTGTGATAGATCTGGAATCTCTCCTTCTTTCTTCTCTGTGAGAACCTCTTCATCCTTAGATCTTTACTTTAGGAGCTCTCTTAAGGGCTAAGATGCTTTGTGAATAACTTTTATCTTTACCAGGATCTAGTCTTTAACTTTTCTGTCTCTTGACTCTGTCAATCATTCATCCGGGCCAGCGGGCCAGTTATAATGTCGAGCCCTGCTTTAAGTGCACATGTTGAATGGTTAAAGTTTGGACCTTGGGTGTCTGATAGACTTGGTGTTAATACACGGCTGTATACTTGAACCTGTGTGATTTGATTGTGGGGATAGAAACCTGTTGTAAGTAATACTTTTGCATGTGAGGGAAAGGATTTCCCTGATACATTTGGCAGTTAAAACAACAGACTGCTTTAGTCCATCAGTCCATCCCAGCTCCTGCATCAACATGTCTGATGTGTCCTTGGGCAAGACATTTAACATTTAAGTTACTCACGCTGCTTCGTCAGCTGTGTATGAAAGCCTCTACCATCAGTGTGTGAATGTGTAGGTGTGACATGCGGTGTAAAAGAGCTTTGAGTATTCAGAAGACTTGAAAAGTGCTATACAAGTTCAAGTCCATTTACCAAGTATGAAGTTACTCATTATTAATCTCATTAAGTCAATCCAAATATATGCATTCACCTAGCGTTCACATCATAACACCTGGAATATTCTTATTTTTTCTAGTTTGAAATCATTGGTGACATATGGGCGATTTGCGATACGTCTAACTAGTGAGTTGTTGACCGGGTTGAAGAGGCAAGAAACCCTCCTCTACACCGCAATATTTAAACATTTATTTTTCTCTAAAGTACATAGAGGTTTCCCTCATTTCCAATGCCATCTAGCTTACAAGAATATTAAAACAAGCAATAAAAAAACAAAATCAATTACAAAAACAACTGAGATCGCTTGAGGGACTTTAAGACATGTCCAATCCATAGAACGGGTCATGTAGGTTCCTGAATTCCCCTCCCAAAGGTCTGTTATGTACAGGTGTGTACGTTAATCTATATCCATGTCTAATGTTGACTTTGCTCTTTTCTCTCCTTCATTACTCTCCAGATTCAGCCTCAGAACTCGCTGGACAACCAAGTCAGACCAGAGGACAGTCTTCACTGACTCCCTACACCTGTTTGTGTGCGGCCTGTCTTCCCCACAATGCACTCAGGCCTTAGTTCAATTAGCCAGGAAGGCTAGTGGCACAGGAGCCCAAAATTGGGTCAAAAAACGACAAGCTCTTGTTCTAAATCTGCTGAAAAACCTGTGTCACAGAGACACGCTGACAGGGCCAAAGGTAGACCGTAAACTGAATGAATCCAGGTGTTTTTTCTTTTGTTTCCTCACTGATCCTTCTTTCTTGCATCTTTTCAGGTTTTGGAACTTTGCCATTGTGTCCAGGAGAGCCAGGACCAACAACTGGCTAAGCAGGTTGTGGGTACAAGACCCACCCTGGAGCTGCGTAGAATCCAACTCTTACCTATTGATATTGATGCTCTGGCTTTTGTAGTTAACTCAGTAGGTGATATTGGAGTTGGATTAGACTTTGGAGCATGCTCAATGGAATTGGAGTGTTTGGACGCCCTTACCAGGTGTCAGTACATTCACTACCTCTGGTGGGTCCACGCAAGGAAAACAATATAAGCAATCACACAAGCACATACTAAGGTTGTCAAAATGTAAAAACATACTTTGATACCTCTTATTTTAAACCATACAATCTGTGTTATTTTAATGTTCGATAAAAATAGAAAAGGATTAAAGATTTTAAATAACAGTGGATCTTCAGTTATACTTAAACCACAAGCTACTGCAAGCTGAAGAAAGAGAGCGACTGTGGTCTATTTAAACTCTACAAAAGCCCGTGTACACAGAGAGTGGAGGAGGAGGAAGAGGAGGAGGTGTCATTATCAAGGTTTAGGTTTCAATAGGTTGCCAATGCATTTGTGCAGCTTAGAATGGGTGCTTGGGGTTTGCTTGCAACTTTTGGTAATTTATAAACAAGAAATAACCACATTTTAGGTGCCAAGAAGTTCTACTTTTGTCAGCATGGTATCAAAACAGGTATCAATGTTGTTTGATTTTTAGTAGGATCGTATGGAAGTGTAAATTCTGGTATCCTGACAACACTAACTAAAACATTTATGTGTCAAGCTTCAGAATTAAAATCAAAATATTAGCCTTCTCAAAATTTGAAAAACTGGATTTGAAGTCTTATCTGTGTACTGCACTAGACACAGAAACACTTCCTACTCTGTAGTTTCTATTATATTCACATTTGGATGATTTGTCTCCATTGGAGGCCATCTGTCATGCAAAGTGCATATGCAAAGTAGTTAGGTGCACAGTTAACAAGCCGGGTGATGTGATGGGAAGATTCTCAGTTCTGTGTAGTTTGTTGCACACGAGGGAGCAGATGAAAAGACAACCTGTAGCATAATTAAATAGTGGAGCGGTGGCTGTTGTTGAACTGTAAAGGACCTTAAAGCCTGTGTTTTGATTTTGGACATTTGAAGCAGCTGAGAATCTTAAAAAAAAAAACTGCTGCTTTGATGTTTGTCCACCTGTCACACACACTGTGATCTGTTTATAGCTCTGTTTCCTTCCGGCTCCTTGTGGTCTGCTGGTTTTTTCTGTAACAACGAAGCATACAGTTCCCAGGACCGAATCAAGAAAGACAACCACTGATACCTTCAAAGGATAATTTTAAATCATCTCAAACACTGGCATGCAACTTAAGAAGGCCTCAAGTTAGAAGGCAAGATGGAATCAGACATTTAACCAAAACAAAATGAAGCTAGAAGGTGTGTAAAGCTCGGCGTACACTGCACGGTTGTAAAAAAAAAAAAAAAAGCCAGGGTGGAATGTCAGCTCACACTGTACGACTGAATCATTAACAACCCACGACCAAAGCTCACGATTTACGTGCTCACGCGGTAAGACCCGTTTGCCGGTCAGGACCTGAGATCTCATACTGTACAAGTCAAATCAGGACAGAGAATTCTCAATTGTCAATAGGAAACTCCCACAGATCGAGGTTGAAGTCAGATCTCTGTAATTTAGAGGTATCGTAGGGTATGTACTGTCTCTTTCTCTCTCTCTCTCTCTCTCTCTCTCTCTCTCTCTCTCTCTCTCTCTCTCTCTCTCTCCCTCACTCTCTCTCTCTCTGTCTCCCTCACTCTCTCTCTTTGTGTCCCACTCTCTCTCACTCTCGCTCTCTCTCTCTACCACTCTCTCACACACACACACAGACACACACACACACACACAATCTGCATCACCAATAAACACAAGCTAACTCAATCAATCAATCAATCAGTTTTTATTTGTATAGCGTCAACTCATAACAAGTGTTATCTCGAGACACTTTACAAAAAGCAGGTAAAATACCTTACTCTTTGTCTGTTAACATTACAAAAGAGTAGGTAAAAAGACCTTACTCATTGTTATGTTACAAAAAGCAGGTAAAAGACCTTACTTATTGCTATGTTACAAAGATCCGGCCTATCCATCATGAGCACTTTTAGCAAAGCAGCAAAAGTTACAGTGGTAAGAAAAAACTGCCTTATTAAAAGGCAGAAATCTTAGGCCGGATCCCCGGCTCATGACGAAACAGTCTTCACAGGCCTAGACTGCGCCAAGTTTGGAAAGGGATAGGGGGAGAGATGGGATAAGATGCAGGAAGAGGGATAGGGAGCAAGGGGGTGGGGGGAGGCAAACCGTCCATCAACAATCCAGTGGGGAGGGGGGTTGTTCTGGCAGGCCGTCCATCAACAATCCGGTGGGGAGGGGGTGCGGGATTGTTCTGGCAGGCCATCAACCAATGATCTCGAGGAGCCTAAGAGAGCTCAAGAGCTCCCAGGAAAGTAGGTGGTTAGTGACTGAGATTTACTAGCAGCTAAATTACAACAAATATTTCCTGCCAGCTGGGAGGGAGAAGACAAATTAAACAGACATGCCTTCTGTTGCCATGGTGATTTCGGTATGTGGCTCTGCTCACACTGCGCGATTGGGTGCAGTTGTACGACCAAAATATCAAACATGCCAGAAAGTCCACCGACTGGTTGATAGCAGCTGATTGGGCTGTGATCGGCCTCGCTGTACACCACATGACTGAGGACAAACCGGCGAGTAAACAAACTGAGCTGCAAAAAGAGAAACCAATGATCACAACAACAATACAGCTATTGTTCACATGACACTGAGTTTGAAAGGTGTATACTGTGCATGGGTATGCAAGTAAAGGCAGTTATTTTCGAGTTATTGCTTTTACATTTTATTTTATCATCCAGTAGAATACATGTCAACTGCGGATATAATACACTGACTTTCTTGTTTATACATGGCAGCAAAAAAAGTTATTCTATGTATCTTCTACTAAGTGAAAAGCCAGAAGATTGGGAGTCTTGGCTACTCAGCGTCCTATCACAAATGCGTCTTTGTTTCATCATGAGTGACATGTTTTATTGAAACTATTTCTGTCATTTCAGTTTTCGCAGCCGCAAGTATGGTGACAAGTTTGCTGAGAAGTTATCCACCATTTTGTCGAAATTCCCAACCTTGAGAAAACTAGAGTAAGATCAAAATAATTCTTCCCCTCTCAAACTATTTTTCTCTGAAGCCTGTCTCTTTAATTTCCATCTAGCTTATAAAGAGTAGACGTTTTTTTGTTGTTGCCTTTTAGACCCTGCACAACAGTGATTTACTGATTTTGTCTGTGTGTTGTAAAGGTTCTGTGGGGCCAGTTTGACTGCCACAGGAGCAGCTGTTTTGGCCCCAGCTCTACAGGACTGTCCAAACCTCACTGAACTCAAGTATGTTTGATCCAAAACAATTTACACTGATTCAGCCAACTTCCTGTTTAACCTGTTCTTTGACACCTTGTCATGAATTTTTTATAAATATGCGTACAAAATGAAGTGTTCCCAAATGGATTGTTGACTCCAAATATCTATTTACATGATGAAATATTTGACACAGAGCTTTTGTTTTTTTGTTGCAGTCTGAGTGACAACAATCTGAAAGATGAAGGGATTGAACTCATTGCTGACGTTTTTGCCAATCTACCAGGACTGGTCTCAATAATGTAAGAGTCACTTTGTGAGTTTCTTTTTAAGATAATCACAATGATTGAAGATGTCGTAAGTGTTGTGTGTGTGTGTTGGTGCATTTTGCAGGCTGGGTCGAAACAACATCTCCCTTGAGGGAGTGAACTGTCTCATCAGGAAGACGTCATCGTGTTTGAACATCCAGCACATTCATGCAGAGTATGACTCCAATCATTCACACACAGGCTCAATGCCAACTGAGCTTAATTGATTATTATATTATGCTTAAATAAATAGTGTTTATACACTGGGAGGTCTGTTTTGGACATTTTCTACCAGGGCTGCACACTATCAGAAAAAAATAACTGACATTGCAATATTTTTCCCTCTTGCTATATTTAGTGAGATATGGCAACACAAGATAAATGCAGTGTGTGTTTATGTACAGAAAACTTCAATAATACAATCATGCTTTATAGTATATGGGTAATTTTCTGCATTCAAAGAGAAACCCCCCCCCCCTTTTATCACCCCCGAGGGTTCAGCCCTCTGACAGCTGCTCTCCCACACACATGGAGAAGGCGAGAGACAACAGGTGGAGGGCGCACAGGAGGAGTAACACATTTTCTTGGTCATTACCTAAAGAATATTGTCGTGGGTGGTAATTGTTTAACTTATGTTTCATCAGCCGTCTTGAACCATGTTCAGAGTCACGTTTAGTCTGCATGATCAGCCCTGTAATTGAAAGGTCCCCATCTTGAGTTTCCTTTGATTCACACACAATTCACCGTGCCACTTTAACACATGTAAACGCACCGTGGTACATCGGCCCAGTTTACAGTCTGTGTAAGTGGCCAGAGAGTTAACCAGCACTGGGACAAGATGGCGCAGACAGACAGAATGCACGTCTAGCTTGTGATGTCACAAAGGGAAAGTCTGCAAACTGCCTGTTTGAGCACACATTTTCTGAAAAGTGGAGCAGGCAAACGATGGATAGAACTGACTTCTCTTATAGTTGGGGGGTTTGTAAACAGGCTAGGGACACATGTTAGTGTTAGAAAAACATGGTAAAATTCATTTGCACATAATTCGACCTCTAAGATAACCAAAAAGTTAGAAAGTCAATATTGTAATACAACTCTGTATTATGTTAATATGTCTTTATTATTTTTGCAGCGGATTGAAAGACTTGACAGTTACTTTCTCTCCAACCTCTGATCTGCAGAGTAGGTGAGTTCATGGTTGGATTAACCTAATGTCTTAATACAGAAGATGTATTAAACATACTCTGTGACTATTCATTAAATGAATCCAGTACAAAGGGAGGTGTTCTCTCTCATCCTTGTATTTCTCTCTTCAGCCACCACAATAATTCAGAACCAACAATCAGGTAAGAAGATACAAGTCAACAACAATATTTCCAGATCTTCACAAACACTGACAGTTTCTTCCTTGTTGTCCTATGCGCCTTCTCTGAAGTTCATAGGCTCTTTAAAAGAAGCACTGTGACTCGTTATAAAATAATCGTAACCATAAAAAGCATCTGAACCTGTAATAACAAAGCCTGCTCACGTTTAGTTTGTTTTCACATTGTCTTGAATATCTTTTTGAGTTTTATGATTTGCACTTTTCTGTTGTTGAATAACTCAAGTTTCTTCCTGCTGTTTTTTCTCTAGCCTGTTGAACCAGAAATGGAGCAAACGAAAAATGCAAGAACTTGCAAAGTCGCTGGCATGTTGCCCTGCCTTCTGCATCCTGGAGTATGTAAACCTTTAACACATGTTTCACAAGAGCCTTACTCAGAGAAACACTGAGTGTATGTGCACATATTACATTTTTCAAATGATATTGTCTCACATTAAAATACCTGTGCAAGTAGACCTGGGGGCAAAAAAGGGGGCACCAATTTTCTGTCAGGTGTTATACAGCACATTTATTGAGGTCTGCGCAATAAAAAGTTTTTTTTTAAATATTTTAATATATCGATTCATAGCTTACAGTCACATGATCAGTGTAGAGGCCTGGAATTCAAAAAGCATTTAGGAAAGTGGCATCCACTGCTGAGCACTCAATAGTGAAGCTGCAGCATGGGCTTGTTAATTAATACCTCTGAAAGCGACATGTTTTCACCTGACAACCACAGAAAACAGAGATATTAAGATTAATTGCAAGTTCTCTATAGTATCGAGACTATCTCTCCGGCCTCAGAGAACCATGGTTACACATTGTAACCTTACGTTTTGGGTGCCCTACACAAGACACAATTTAAAGTCCTCAGAACTTCACCTCAGTGATGTTTACATATTAGATAGATAGATTTTATTTGGCATGAACATCACAGATACATTGTTTAAGCGTTTTAGCATATGCTAGTTCTCAACAATATCTAGAGGACAATCCTTCAGTTATAATGATGACTTTTTCCCATTACATCGCTCCTCCATATGTTTGTGGAAAGTCTACATGAGAGCTTGGACAAGTCTTTTTTCAGGTCAACATGAGTCATTTCAGGCAGGAGTCTGGGGCTACCTCCATATCTGGGAACTTGCTTTTCTCATTGCGGACCAAGAGAGAGATTTAGTTTCGCCTGGAGAGATGCAGATTGTACACGGTGATACACATTGTGTGTGTGTGTGTGTGTGTGTGTGTGTGTGTGTGTGTGTGTGTCTTTCTCATCCTAGTCTATCTGGAGTCCAATGGGATGTTCAAACTCTGAAGACACTCACTCAGTTATTGCCAAAGTTTAAAGTCACCAAAAAGATCATGTAAGTGTGTAAACATACCAAAGTTCCTTTAAACTGTATGGTGCCTGAAATGCCTCTCATTTAAACATTTTAAAGTATTTGGACTGAAATTAAACGAGTCACAATTATTATTGATTCCTATATAGGACCTGCAAAAGATGCCAGTGACTATGTCTATATTGTCATACTTATTTCCTGAAACCGTTGGGAGGGGTTGTCAGATGATTCTATAAATAACACCATGTAAAAAATCCCACACATATAAAAATGTTTCCATGCCAGAGACTCATTATGAGAAGCATGCTACACATTTAAAGCAAATAAGTACATTTGTTAGAAAACAAGGCTCTTACATGTACAGGATAAGATCAGGAAAGAGAGATACTTTTGTCCACATGGGTCACCAAAATAGATCAATCCTGAAAGGTCCTCACAGGAGCGTTAAGAACATAAAGAGAGGAAAGGGTGATATACTTGTTCAGGTACTTAAACACCAGTTATCACAGTTTGTTGATGTTCACATTTCTCTTTTCAGTTTGAATGAGAGCTGCTCCTCAGTGAAGGATTTGGTGATTCTGACTGCTCTGCTGTCTGATTGTCCTGCTGTGAGGGAGCTTTACGTGAGGTACAAATCTGTGATGTACACTGCATACTGCGGGACAGATCTATGAAGAATGGATTGCACAGAAAAGCGCCCACAATCTGCCCCATTTAAGCACCCTATCCAAATAAGAATTTGCACTTATTATATGACAACATATCCACAAAGTTGTCCTGCAGTTTGATCTTGTTTTGCATCTTAATGTGGAGAAATGCTGCCTGCACCTTTGCTCTGCACTGACCTGCACTCTAAGCTGATGCAGCTGTTTTGCCCACATTAAGATGTTGAGCGCTTAGGGGAGGGGAAACTTTTTCAGGATATATTTCAGGATATATATTTCACTGACAAACTGCTCCAAACCTCTCCACAGATGTGTTGAGTCTCTGAAAACACTGGAAAGATTTAAGCCGTGTTTTTATTAATAATAGCAATCTCAAAGTCATATATTCAGACTTAAGATGATTTTTATTTTTTAAAGTCATAAAGAGGCGGAATTGTTTTTTCCAAATCATTGGAAAGATTACGTGTGACGTTCTTAGAGAGAAAAAAGAGAGAAGGAGAAATTGCGCTGATTTAGTGTTAAATAGCTCCACTGTTGGCAATGACCTCTTGTCTTTGTTATTACATACTTTATTAATCCCTGGGTGAAATTCTTTTAAACTATTGAGAGGCATACTTCTCACACACATAGACCTGAATCACACACATGCACAAACAGGACCTGTGGACATGAACTAGTGGAGAGATGTCAGAGTGGGGCTGCTACACACTGATACACAGGGAGAGCACCAGAGCGGTTTGGTGTTCGAATTTTCCCTAATTTACATAGATGCAATGAGACAGGCTCACCCAGGACACTATCTGCTGAGCAGTGCAGTTTGTGCGCATTTCCCCCTGTGCACGTTGTTGGATTCCATGTTATCTTTTTCTCTCATTTGCACAAGTTTAGCGCCTGCAAAAGCCGTTCAATCAGTCTGTGAGTCTGGCCCTGAGAATGCAAACATGTAAGACTAGCATGCCATTCCTTGGCAACATTTGTGTCAGTATGTAAATAAAACAGTTAGCAGCTCACTTGATGATGATGATGATGATGATGATGATGATCAGTCACATAGAGTATTTCCTTCACTCACTTAGAGGTGTAACCACTGTAGCAGTGTAACTGTATTTTTATGTTTCAGACTACAAAGTCCTGTCGAGGTGTCAGTGGGGTTCAGTGGAGGAAGAGAACAGCCTGGGATTAAGATGTCTAAAAAACTTTGGTATGTTTCCAGTGAAGGTTTCAACAGGATTTTAGCTTTACTTTTTTCGTGTAGATCACTCGGAGCGTTAATGCCAAAGCAGGAAGAGCCTGTCTCATTCCTTCCTTGATTGTATAGAGGAGATGATTTAAATTCAAAAGGTTCAAAGTTCAAACAGCATCTATTGTAACAAGAGATTGCTTTAGAGATAATATTAAAAATAATAATGTGTATCCCAAATGACCTTCAAGAAGTAGATGTGAGTTAATTGAGCTTTGTTCATAGTTTTAGTAGATGTAGATGTCTTCTGCTACTATATCTGCTCTTGGTGTATTTACACTGGAGGTTCCATGTTTCCTTATTAAACTTGTATACTGCAAACTGAACACTAACGGGCTTCAAAACCAGATGTAGGTACAGAGATACTTTTCAACTTCAACAGGCTCCACAAAATGTACACAATGGAGCTCAGGCATCAAAGTGTCCGACAATAAGCAGAACAATTACTGTTTGTTTTTGAGAAGAACTTAGTTGACATGACTTGGAGCTGGTGTAATCAGCACGTTGTCTTTCCAGTCTGAGCTGCTGTGCACTGCTGCCTGCTGATCTGGAGAGAATATGGCAGAGTTTCGGAAGATCCTCTGATGTCACATTTATTGAGTAAGAAAAACACAAGAATTGTTGCTAACTGTAATGAACTGTTTGTACTTCAGATACACTGTCCACCATAATGTTGTATATGATATATATTCAGGTATTAGTAAGCTTGAAGGCTTTGTATGCGATTTTTTGATCCAGCAGACACCGCCCTTGAGCACCAGCATGAAACCAAAACAACTTGCGCTGCATTGTTGTGTTAGCATGCTAATGCTAGCGATCTTTATTATGCTGGTATCTTCACACTGCATGTAAATTTACCTGAAATGAGCGTGATCTAGAAACACAGTTAAGCAGTGAGTACAGTATGTTATTCTTCTTTTCTCTAGTCCCTCAATTAAACAACTTTTATACACGAGGGGAGGAGTCAGCCGCTGTCCTGACGATGTAAACAAAGTGAAGATAGGACTCTGAAAACTCTGAAAACATCACAGACAGTGGGACTCGGGTGTTACACCCATTGTAGACAGTCATGACTCACAGAGTTATTTTCAGAGGATGTACTTGATTATGCAAATTAGTGTTATGATCTTCTGACTTCAGAATTGAAAAGATCAATGTGTCCACAGACAGCGTTTCTTTGTGCCTGCAGCGCCCTTCCTCAGTGTAGTTCAGCCTTTTTTCAGTCTTTGCCATCAGCTGTTTATTGTCACAGCGCTCTGAGTTGAAAATAGTTGAACTTTGGATCAGCGTGGCGTTTTTCAACGTTACTTACTTAATCACTTAAATCACAGATTTAAATTAAGAAGGAACAGGACTTCTGACATCAGCTTTGTCAACAACAATGGTGGTTGAGACGCTAATCTGACTCGTCTTTTCAAGGGAACAACTTCCAGGTGTAGAGCTGCTGCTACTGCCAGTATATGACTCCTTTACATCATTTTATTTGTGATAAAGTAAATACTAAGCACACAGAGCTATCTTAAACACATCTAACGGACATTAACTGAGGGAAGCAGAAGTTAACTTTCCTAACCTAGCAACAACGAGCGCATATGAGAAGTGCTCTGAAGCGGTGGTTGTTTGCGCTGCAGGCGCAGTCTGTGGACACAGGCACTACTGAATGAAAGCACTACTTGCAATAATCTTTTGTCTGCATGGGCATTTCAGATTCAGCCACCAATAGTAAGGCAATGCAAATTGTTTTTCCTGCATTCTGCGTTTCCTGTTTCGTTCTCATAATTTAGCAGCAAACAATGTGCTCCTTTAGTCTCTTGTGCCTGACATTAATGTGACCCATCATTCCGCCCTGTTAGCCTTTCCAGTAACTGCTTGGATAACAAAGGACTGAAGAAGCTGCTGGACTTCCTGCCTCGTCTTAGAAGTATCCTGGAAATCAAGTAAGTCACACACACACACACACACACCCGCACACACACACACACACACACACACACACACACACACACACACAGAAGGTGATAACATAACAAAAGACCATTCAGAAAAACTGACAATTCTGGAGACCTTTTATAGCTAACCCCGACAAAGGGAGCTTGCACAGTGTGCATTTTATATGAATGAATCAAACTGGCAGGAATTGAAGGAAGTGTTCTGAAGAGATGAGGCTCTTTGTTTTGTTTTTAGAAAATGCAATATAATCTTGGTTTTCTTGGCAGGAGCAGGGCCGTTCTATTCCAAACAACCAGGATCCAAACAAAAATGTGTCAATGCTGGCAGCTACTACGTTTAGCCTGGGCCGTTATTTTGTGTAATTGGCTTATTTATGAGATTAAATATGTCCTTCCTCCCCTGGCTAATTGTCTCTATGTGTGTTTTTCAGTGCCAGTAACAATGGGATCAGCATGGGGGGAGTGGTGATGCTGGCTGGTGCTTTGTGCTCCCACAGCAACCTAACACAGGTTCTCATCAGGTACTCTTTGTTTTACATTTTGGGCATTTAATGACTGTATTAAGTAGTTTTCACAAATGCGCTGCTCATGAAATCCTCCTGAGGTAATTTTTCACCAAAGTTTAACGTGTCTGACCGGCGGTCTCAGGAAGCAATCCACATAAAAATGACATGCCTGACGCCATGATGACAGTTTTTGCTTTTATATCAATGCTACATGTGATTGCACATATCGACAACATGAATTGAATAATTGAGAAGCACATACTGGTCAGCAAAAATCAGATTAAATTAACTTCTCTATTCATGCATGACTCTTCACCTTAATATAATCAAAACGACCCCCATACAGTGTGTGCCCATTAAGAAATTAGCTTTTAAGACCAAATTAATTTTTTTAACCAGGCTGTGAACATGTTTATTCCTACTATAAAACAGGGATTTCTGGAATTCACGATTAATAAAGTCTTTCACGCTTGCAGAAAACTCCTGAATATATGTCCAGGAGGAGCTTTGAATGTGAACATAAACAGACACATTTTTCACTCAGACTTCACTCGCAATTTCTCCGGCCACACCCCTAGTGTTTTTTTCTGCAGCAAGTCTGAGTGAGCTGATGTGAGAACACAGCAGGTTATTCTCCGAGAATTCAGCTCGAGCCAATAGGAGGTGGAGTGACATTTATATACTGTGACCGCTGCATGCGACCACTATGATCTCAGTGCACATAATTAAACGTCTGCATTACCTTTTCTGTTTGTCAGTATGTTCCTCTGAGCTCTTTTGTTGATAGAGTCATTCCGCCGAACTACATGTAGCATTGCTATAAAGGCAAATATTCTCATTCTCATCTCATATAGCAGACTCTGTTGCTTCGTCTGCTACTTCCACGTCACCTTGATAGATAGATTAGATATTTTCAGGAGTGCATATGTGAAATTGGCTTAAGTGACTCTTGGGGCTTATGGAGCCAACCTTAATTGAAGAACTTCATTTTCACACTTCATTTTCCAACACAGGAGGTTTCTGCTTTAATAGTATACAGTGCATTACATAGAGAGTTGCATGGATTGCATCGTTTTGTCTTTTTTTGTCAAAATTTGCATAATGCAGATAAACAGATTTTCTCAAAGTGCTTCTGGTGGTTTCACAGTGATGGAGGCAGAGAGCGACTGATCTTGAAGTTCTGCCGTGACAGAAGGTAGATAGGCTGCATCTGCACACATCTGGAATCACAGTCTGTTTTAATTTTCAATCCATAAGCTAACTCTGTGTTCCTTTTCAGGGCTGAAAAACAAAAACTAAAGATTTTCAGGTATAGTACCGCAAGCTCATGATGACACTTCTAATTTCACACCTTATTATTTCCAAATTCAGACACTAAGAAAAGCTTCTCCTTTATGCTGCAGGCTTAACAACAGCAGCCTCCTGCCGACAGATATGACTAAAATCTGTGAACGATTGGGCCAGTGTCACTCGCATCTGGAGTTAGAGTAAGTTACATTTGTAAGTTTTTGCACATAAAGACTTCAAGATTATGACCAAACAGATGAACATTAGTATTATTTATGTGTGTCAGTTTTTCTCACAGCTCACTGACAGATGAGGCGATTCAGAACCTGCTCAAGGTCCTGCCGAAGATGAAATCTCTACAAAGACTCAAGTAACACACACACACACACACACACACACACACACACACACACACACACACACACAACCAAATTGAGTGATGCCTCGTGTCCACATAGCTTTTTTTCCGGGCAGAAAAGGCAAAAGGGGAAATTTCACATTAATTAACATCAAAATGTTACTGTATTGACTTACCTCTATCATAAAAAGTAGTATTTAAGTAATAATAATCATAATAATAATAATACATTTTATTTAAAGGCACCTTTCAAAAGTCTCAAGGTCACCTTACAGAGCAGAGATAAAAACAACCAAGTAAAAACACAATGATAAAATTAACATTAAAAACACAGTAAACACAAATGTACAGGATGTAAAGGATTTATGAGACCGGATGGAGAATGATCAGACCGAATATGCCAGTTGAAAAAGATGTGTTTTGAGATGAGATCTGAAAATGGAGAGAGAGTCGATATTACGGATTTGTACTTCTTATTTATTTAAATCACACCTGTCCTCTTTGTCCTCAGCGTCAGCCACAGCATCTCATCTACGTCTGGAGCAGTGACGCTGCTCAGTTGTTTGACGGTCAGTCAGCGAGTGAAGTCTGTGGAACTCAGGTACAAAACCTCACTGTGTCTCATTGGTCAAGACGAATGTAAACCACTTTTTTTTAAAGACAGTCTGATCTGTTGCTAATACAACTAGTAGAAGTTTTTTTATGACAGCTGTGTCACTGCAGCATGTCTGCACATTCTAATGTCATTTATTGATGTGAGACAATGATCGTGTTTTTCTGAAATCCTGCTTTGTTCTCGTCCTTAGGCATCAATTTGAATCCTTCGTACATTTTGACAGTGTGAAAGCAGAACAAGCCAGGTGCAGGTGTGTGATCAGCAGCACTTTCACCTATTTTATATAAAATTATACATGATACATAATGTCAAATCTAGCTTATTTGAGTTTCTCTTTCTACTTACCTTGGTAGAAAAATGGATCAGAAAAACGTTGTCCTCCTCCGCTATGGAAAGATCTATCTAAAAGAAGATAGCAGAGAACCTCTTAAAAAAAAAAAAATTCATTTGAAAGTTTCACTGACGAATATGTCTGACTCAAATTTTGGAGCCACATTTGTGAAGCCAAAAATCAAGTGCAACAACAAAAACATTGATCTGATGACTTCCTAAAAGCAACACAGACAGTTGTCATGTGGTTTCACGTTGCTTTGTGTGACTTTTTTTTATCTGCATCAGCACAGAAATTAGGAAATAAAAAACTAGTTTCTAACTTAATGCTCTAACAGAATGTCTGCCTGTGTGTCTGCCTGTGTGTCTGCCTGCCTACCTGCCTGCTTGATTGTCTTCTTGTATGTCTGTCTTTGCACAGGTTCACTGGGTTCAGCCTGAATGCTGATAACTATGAGAGACTGCTCAGTGTCTTACAACATGGCCCCCAGCTGTCTGCCCTGGAGTATGTGTCTCCCCTACAAACCTCATCTCTCTTATACATCAGCCCTGCACTTAAACTCAAATAATTTACATATATGTCAGTACGCCTTACTCACATTCTGTGTGTGGATTCTGAGATATATTATTTTTCTCACTGCAGTTTATCAGGTAACCAACTGGAAGACGAGGGACTGAAGCGTTTTTTGGAGACTCTACCGAGGCTAAAAGTCATCAGCTATGTCAAGTAAGGCACTTGTTGTGAAATATATGCATACAAACTAAATATAAAGTATTTAAAAACATTAAAAATCCTTTAATAAGTCTTTTAAGGAGTATGGATTCAATTGGCCTCCATTTACTCTGAACAATTTAGTTCGCTTATTTGAACAATGTTATTTTCCTTGTGAGTAACTTTTCTGCCGTTAGAGCCTGGTCGACATTTTCAGTGATTTTGGCCAAAGTGTTGATGAAACTGTAAAAAAGAAAATGCAGAATGTGAGAGCCACTTTTCTCTCTGCTTGAATGTGTGTTCACAGTATGAGCAAGAACAGCCTGACGCAGCACGGCCTGCTGGATGTGGTCAGCACTCTGTGCGACTGTGCAAACGTGTCCGGTGTAGAGGTCAGGTGAGTTAGTGCGCTGCGGGAAGGTGCCCACCAAAGCAGCAAAGGAAACAAAACAAAGCAGTAATTGTTAATTGTTGAAGGTGTACACATTAAGTGTTCATTCTCTCTTTGTCCGTGGATTCAACTTTCTGACGTGTGCTGGCAGTTTGGGAGCAGAGCAGAGGTGTCTCGTCTGGTTCACTCAACAGGAAGGTGGTGAAAAAACTCTCAGGTAGGACAAGAAATCAATGTGATTTAAGTTGAAGTTACAAGGGTGCCATTGTGCACAGACTTTTGGTTAGATGTAAACACCTTCAGATTGTTTGTTAAGTTAACATAGTACCATGTTTGTGAGGTGTTCCTGATGTTCCTTGTACTGTTTACCTGATTTAATAATATCATTTATTCAAAGGTTTTTAGAATTCTACACAGTTTTATTTTCATTAACCTCTCAAATTACCGCCTCTTATTTATTTATTTTATTTTACACTCTGTTATTTAGGGACATGCTTCTCACACACATAGGCCCCCGAATTACACATGCATAAACAGGTCATGCATTAATAGAGATGTCAGAGGGGCTGCTACTGGGGGTCCGGTGTTTTGCTCAACGGGACCTCAGCAGTACTCCAGAAGTGCCCTGGCACCTCTCCAGCTACCAGACCACCTTCCATATTTTTGGTCCGCACAAGGATATTTCAATATGTAAGAACAATAAGAACATTGACCACACTGAAGTCATCTCTGAGGTTTGGGGGGTCTGCTGATAGATATCTATGCACCAGCTTGTCACCCAGAGCTGGTGAGCGTGACTCTGGTTTAGTTCAGTGTCAGCCAAAACAAAAATGACATTTCAGCTTTGTTGTCTGAATTCTTCTGTGTGTGTTCTTTCTCTTCTCCTAGTGTCAGAGAGGGAAATTTGGAGCAGGACCATTTGGTCAGAATAGGAGAGATCTTGTCCACTTGTCCCAGTCTGTCTAAACTAAAGTAAGTATTTCTAAATCCTCAAATTCAGTGGAATTTGAAAAAAAAAAAGCAGACCAATCAGATCTTTAATGTAGTTACCTATTAATATGGATTTTTTTTTTTAAATCATTCTCACAGGTCCCCAAAACATGTGTGTGAAGTTTCTTGTTCTAAATCCACTCTGATCCTGTATTTGATCATGTCTATAAACCCCTCTATTTCAGCCTGCTCAGAACAGGCTGTTTCTATGTCTTTACCTTTAAATATGTAAATGAGCTCTGTTAGACCACACCCCAGTGGAAGGGCTTTCTTGCATCATGCCCAATTGTTAACGGTGAGAAGGCAGACTCAGAGGGCAGAACAAACACCTAGCTGTGGGAGTTTCAGTCATATGGGGGAGGGGCTATTGCCCTTTGTGATGTCATGAAGGGAAAGTCTGTTTGAACTTACATTTTCTGAAAAGTTGAGAAGGCAAAAGACGGAGAGGATGGACTATTCTTATAATTTGGGTGGGGGGGGGGTATAGACAGGATAGGGATACATATTAGAGTTAGAGAAACATGGTAAAGTGTATTTTGCGTAATATGTGACCTTTAAGAGACGCCTGAAAATCAAAAGTGATAACTTCTGTGATTGGTCCACAGGTTCCAGAACAATGATCTGGAGTCTGACTGGATCGAAGGCTTGGTGAAAACGTTGAACAGCAGTCAGAGAGGACTCAGTGTCAGGTAAGAAGTTCCTGACACAACAGGATTGTTCTGAGCCATTTCTCCATAGCTTTTATTCTGCCACTTCAACACTTGTGTCTGAATAACTCGAGAGCAAGTTGTGGCAGGGAACTCTCTCTATTCTTTTTATTTTTGGAGAGATCGTCAAACTTTACACACAGCAAACTTGTTTAAAAATATGACAAAATAGATATTTGTGTTTCTGTCTGAAGTCAATACTTACCAGATATACAATGATAATTTTAAAAAGGAAGAAGAATAAATAATTAGAACTGTTGTTAAAATGCTTTATTGTATGGTTGAAATATTCAACTTCTATCTTTGTCAGTGTTGAGGAGCGTTGGATCAGATCAGACGAGGTTGTTAGTTTGCTGTGTCAATGTCTGGAAGCCCGCAGCGATGTTCACACTATTGGGTGAGGACTGTAAATTCACACACAAACACACCCACACACTGACTTTGAAAGACCTTTTTAGTGAAAGAGATTTCTAAACATATTGCAACTCTCTCTGGATTATTCCCCATCAAGTCATATGTCTCCTCTCCTGTGTAATATTTTTTCTACAGGGTCCATCACAACACAATGCACCTGACTTTGAAGAAGGACACTGAACTGACTTCAGTCAGGTAATACACTTCTGGACGCATTTTGAAATTCATATCCCCCTTTATGTGACAGTGTAGCTAAAGTCCTGGACTTAAAAGTGAAACTCAGACCAGGATAAAGTGTTTGACGAATATTTATTTTTAGGTTTTTAATTTACAACAACAACTAACAACACTGTGGCACTTGAGAGATTCCAAGATGGTGAGGGGGAAAGGATGAGTCCCAGTTGATACAACAAAGAGTTTCAGTACAATGACTTGAAGCTTGGGTAGTAGTAGAGGTGAGGCTGGCTGCGTTCAGGTGTGCTGAGACTTCACAGAGTGAGGCACTGGAAAAATACCAAAGCAGATGAAACACATGAAAAAGCCAAAGAACAGTCTGTAAGTGACCTGGAAAAGAAGCCGATATGCCGCTAGTGTAGTGAAGATAATCTGGCATCTTGCTGGGAGTGGAGGCGAGAGTATCAGAGCTGCTGTAGGTGAAGCCAAATGATCTGAAGGTGCAAGATTGAAAGAATGAGCGCTCAGGATCGCCCCAAATCTCTGCAATCAGGCAACCCTGAAGGACAGAGACACAAAACAATGAACAGCATTGAAACCCTTAAACTGAACACACTAGAAAATATGAAAACATAACAGTAAAAATGAATCAAGAAAAAATAACAAACCAAGATTCCAATCCACTTAACTAAAAACTATGTCAAGCTGCTAATTTCTGCAGTTGGATGTTTGAGCTTAGTTGTTCAGACTTCTGGTGTTCTGGGGACTTTTTGAAAAGGAGATTTGGGATTATCCCTATTTGGGATTTCCCTGAGAACTACACACCATGGGAACTTTTTTTGTGTCTGCATTCGCACCCCCACTGTACCTTCTCTGAAGCAGAAGCTGAGAAGGCTCCTCTAAAGGGGGCTCTAGGAACTGAAATAGTTCCTGCGGTGCGGAATCAATAAATTCAAAAGCTGATTGACAGTGAAGAATATGTATTGTTTCCTCTCCTCTCCTCTCCTCTCCTCTCCTCTCCTCTCCTCTCCTCTCCTCTCCTCTAGCCTTGTGGACTGTGCAGTCAAGGGTTACCAGCTTGCACCTATGACAAGCATTATACAGAGGTACCCTTCACTGAGGGAGATGGAGTAAGTACTCCCTCTTCTGTATAAAATAAATAACAACAAGTCAGTGAGCAGCAGAGATGTGGCAGAGCAAAGCTGAAATGAAATAACTGTTGTCATTATCCACAGCTTTTCCCACAACCACATGGACATAGAGGGAGCAGAGTTTCTTGCTTCTGTCCTGCCTTCACTGCCAAACCTCACCTCTCTCAGGTCAGAGCCTCTTTCACATGTGAAACTTTTACCAATGCTTGTTTTGATGTTCCAAGATGCCAAGATCTTTCCTTTTTTTCTCGTGCAGTTTTAGTTCCAAAGAGATTTGGGCCCGTGTGGCTGAGAGGCTCTCAGAGACCTTACTCCAGGCTACAGCTATTCAGAGCTTAAAGTAAGAAAAACAAACTCATTGTATCACATTTTATTATCATTCTTCCTTTTGTAGTTATTCATTGTTTTTCATCAGCTCCCCCTCGGAATATAAATACAAGTGTACTTCTCTCTCATTGTATTTGTTCGTACATTAAAATAACTTAAGTCGGGACCCGTTAGCCTGGTGGTTGGTGCGGGGGGCTAAGGTCCTCCAAGCGGGCGGCCCAGGTTCGGGTCTGACCAGTGGCTCTTTTTCCCACATGCCATTCCCCGATCATCTCTCCCCTATTCAAGACTCTGTCCACTGTCCTATCTCAAACAAAGGAAGGAATGAAAAGCCCAAAACATAAACCTTTAAAAACAAAAAAAAAGACTCATCTCAGAGAGTTACGCTAAAAAGTCAAAAGAACACCACCATTGTTTCAAACTGTTTGCCAAGCATCAAGCTGTTCGTGTATTTTTATTTTTTTTACCATATTGCCAACACTTAGTTATTTTGTATTGTGACACAATGCATGAAACAACACTAGCTCTGCATTTCATGATATTGATTTACAAACTTAATATTATTATATAATCTTTGTGATTTTTTTTGGGGGGGGAGGGGCTTGATATGTCTGTATTGTAGAGCTAGGACAGTGGATAGAGTTTGAAATCAGGGAGAGGCGTGTGTGTGCACTAACCACTACGCTACAGGCGCCCCATAGTATGTGTGATTTTAATGACATCTCTCCCTTTCTTTCTCCCAGTCTATCCAGCCATGTTGTTAGTGACACAGCAGCTCAGAGTATGGCCAGAATAATGCCACGTCTACAATCACTCAAGTAAGAGTTCAACACTTGACCTGATGGTAATTCTGTAGAAGTTTGAATCATTATCACAGGTAGTCATGGACATGTTCACCGTACAATTGGTGGTGTGTATTTTGCACACACACAAACCCAGTATTTTGTGGAATGTTTCAGCCATGTCATGGAGCTTAAAAACATAAAACAGTGTCGCCTTCTGTCTCCTCTAGTCTATCTCACTGCGTGTGCTCGGAGGCTGGAGGGCTGCAGCTCATCAAAGCACTGGGAGAATGTGTTGGCCTGGAACGCCTTTGGTAGGACACACGTGCAGATTGAAGCTATTTACAGACATGTCTTAATCCCATAAAGTTTATATCGTTTATATGGGTGTGTGTGTTATTTTCATTGCCCCCCCCTTCCACAGTCTGGACTCCTGGCAGCTGAGCAAAGAGAGCGGGGTGTGTCTGGCACAAGCTCTAAGGAATGTCAACTCTATACGCATTCTCAAGTAAGAAACAATCTTGTAGTAGAACTTTCACACTGGCAGAAGTTACGACAGACATTATGAAACATTAAGCTGGCCACAAGTTGACGCACTCTAACCATGACAGGATATTTGAAACATTAGAGTGAGTGTGTGTGTGTGTAATGACTTTGCACCGGACATCCACAATGTTTGTTCTAATGTCTTCTGTCTGGGCTTTTTAAACCTTGAATTTGTTTTGTTATGTGTCGTATGTATCTTTGGAAAATCTGCATTTAATTTTTTAATTTATTTTATTTAACCTTTATTTAACCAGGAAAAAGTCTCATTGAGATTAAAATCTCTTTTACAAGAGCGTCCTGACCAAGACAGGCAGCAGCACAATTACAGGGTTTCAGACATAAAACACACTTAACAACAATGAACATAAATACAGGAATCACACAAAGAACCATTCATCAGAATCTGTCAATAAGTCATCAGCAACAAAGCGATCAAAAAGGGCAATACGAGTTAGCTAAAACATCTACAGTCAGATATTTCTGCCTACAGATCATTAAGACGACCTTTAAAAACATTCAAGGAAACCAGCTCCCGAAGATTTTAAGTATCTTGCAACCAATTCCAAGAAGAGGGAGCAGCATACTTGAACGCCCTTTTTCCTAATTCAGTACGGGCTTCAGTGATGGTTAGAAGGTGTAAATCCTGCGAGCAAAGATGGTAACTTCCATTACTTTTTTGAAGTATGTAGCTCTGTAGGTAGGATGGAAGCAGACTGAGAATACCCTTATAAATAAATATATCTCTCGTCTGCACGACAAATATACCTTTTATAGATTTTTTTTAAAATTCTGCTGGGTGTTAACAGCTCCTCGTGTTGTAGGAGGTGTCTATCTAATATACAGTACCAGCCTGCAAAGCTATTTCAGACAGGCATCCTCTTACAGTCACACTGATACTCTTTCCTTACACGTATCCGTGTATGTACCACTCTTATAATCTGCTCTATATATAATGCCGTACATTTGCTGACACTGTTGCTGCCAAAGCCTCAGCTCCATTGCGGCTTCTCTTGCAGCAGCTCATCATACCAGCATGTCATCAGCTCAGCATGAAGCTCTTCATAAATAAGTAGCGTCTCATCCCACATGGGAGCTTCATTCCCCTGTCCTCTCATAGTGCAAAGCTGTAAACTTTGGCCTGCTGTTGTCCTGTGAGATCAGAACTTAGACGGTAGAAGCCAGTTCTGTTTATACAACACATAGATAAAGCTCATTTTACATTGATATTAATCCGCTTCACATGATATGACAAGTTTCTGTCCTCACCGTTATTATAGCAACATGTTGATTGGAGCCGACTTTAACTATTTCACAGATGATATGAGTGCTTGGTTGACAGCTAATTTGGCCCTTGTGCATTGGGTTTGTGTGTGTGCCAGGCTTAATAAGATTGACACTGCAGACAGTGGGCTGGATCTCCTCGCTGCTATGGAGGGACTCACACAAATTGAGGAGATTGGGTGAGTTTTCCACACATAGATATGTTATATAAAGTTGCACGTATGTGTTCATGGAGACATGGTAGTCAAGTCAAGTCCGAGTCCTAATGGTTGAGTCTGAACCATTCCAAGTTAAGTTTCAGTTTTCCACTTTAGCACATTCATTCTTTCTTCTTTATTTTTTGGCCTAGACTTGAGTCCTAGTCCTTTGACTCTTGTCCGAGTCCTGGACATGAGAACTTCAACATTAGCACATGAGCATGTGATGAATCTCATTTGTCTTTCAAGTGTTTGATTCGTTTTTTCTCTTGGGAATTCAGGTTGGATGGCTGGATGATGGCTGATAAAGGACTAGAGCAGCTGACCAGACTTCTTCCTCTCTGGGGGGGGCTGAGGAGGTTCAGGTGGGTAGAAAAACAAACAAAAAAAAGCATTTTGTTTTTGTGATTTTGTTATTTTACCTAATTGTCAGAGGTTAAATTCTAAAATACTTTCACGTCACACTTTTATAGTTTAGATTAATGTACACTCTATTTTTCAAACATTCTGTTTAAACGTCCTCTAAAGTTTTACAGGCCTGCAGATTATTATTTTATTGTTTATTAAAGAACCTCGGCCCAGTCCTAGTAGTAGTAGTTCTTTTCTACAAGGGTTATTAACTGATGACATATACTACTGCTTTCTTATTCTTTGCAAAGATCCACAGTGCTGTTGATCTGTGTCAAACTCGTAGAGTTTCCAAATGCTTGGTCATGTGTCTGTGCAGTGAAAGTCATTACAAACATACCAGCCGTTTTATTGGACTGTCATCGCCTTCTTTATGAGGACCATCTGGCAGCACGCTCTTCTTTTACAAGTGTCACACTCCCAGCGATGCCAAATCTTTTGTGCGGGAATTAAAAGCAGTTGATGCTGTTGCTATGTTTATTTATTCATGCACATATTGTAAAGTTGTTATGAACACATAGTTAAAGTGATTATGGCTGCTGAAGTCAGTTCATGTCATTTTGGGGCCTTAAACTGTGAGGAGTTTTTACATGGTACAGTTTATTACCACTCATCGTCTTATCACCCAACCTGTTATCACAAAGACGTCTCAAATTAACGCCACAGTCACATGCACTCTGACCTGGCTGTTAGGCCGCATTGCTACAGATCTGACCTGTATCTGATTCTGGACCACATATGGAGACAGCCCGAATCTGATCTGAAAGAAAATTATTTCCATGTTTCTTGTGACAAGATCAGCAAAGATATAAGATGTACCGCTTTGTTTCAAGAGGGATCCAAGACCAACACAAAATGAAAGTGTCTGAGGGTGCACTCACACTGGGTCCAGTTGTCCTGTACCGTGTCGAAGCTTGCCCCCCTCCCCACTCCCCCGCTGGCCTTCACTCACTTTGCTCCAGCCCCAATCGGGCCTGAGCACGGTTACTTTATCATATGTGTAGGTGTAGCCCTGCTGGAGCGCACCGGAACATTGCTCTGCTCTAAAACATTTGCAGTTTCCTTTAGCCAGTTAAAATGTGTGTACACTTTTTGAAGCGCTTCAAAATTCAACCCTCACTAAAGTGTATGTCATGCAAGAGAGACGATCAAACAAACATTATGGTCAGTTATCGTTTTAACATTTAAGGTGGTTTGATTGATTCTCGACGTCGACTGATGCACTGAGTAACATGAAAGAAAACACTCCACCTTAGAAAATCTGTGAAATGCAGCTCGGTGAATGTTCTCTGGTGGAATAACACAGAGAAACATTACTGCAACTTTGAACTGTGACGTCAGATGGTAAGTGTGCCTGAGCTTGTATAGCACAGACTTATTGTGGCTTATGATGAGTCAGATCAGATACAGCACTTAAACACTTAATAATGCAAGGCCATGTCCACATCGGTTCCTGTGCTTGGGCCTGAGACACTGTACTGTGTCGAAGCACACTTTGGGTCTTTGGGGGGGGTCAAGCATACTTAGGCACGGTACAGATTGCCTAGTGTGAATGCGTCCTTATTGGAGTCTTCAATCAGGCATGATGACACTACATTTTGAAATAACTCCTCATTTACATTGAATGTGTTTTCTGTGCCCACGTTTCAGTCTATCAAAGAGCCTTATCAGCGACCAATCAGGAGACAAGCTGCTGGATGCTTTGAAATGCTGTAGTCACCTGGAAGAGCTTCAGTAAGGACATTTTTTATTTGATGCTTCACTAAACAAAGCCTCCAGGCAAATGATTAGCCTCAGGCTTTTTAAAAATCGAGGTGCTCCATTGATTTGAAGAATTGTTTCAGTCTTAGGCCTCGTGTCCAACTAGTGTTTATTTTCTGACAGCGTCTTTTTTTCAATTTATGAGGAGAGAGCGTTTGCAGCAGCAGGCGGCCGCCTGAAGAAAAAGCACAGCGCCCAGCGTCTTTTCTTCCCAGCACTCTGACTTTTTTGTGCGGCCGCTCCGAACGCTCAAGTTGAACATTATTCAACTTTTCCGTTGTCAACAGACTGTTGTCATAGAGACAGGATGGACGTGCACAAACGCTTCATGCAAACACTTCCAAGCGCACAGCCAGCGCTTTTCTGCCCGAAAAAAAACACTAGGTGGACACAGGGCCTTAATTAATATTTCACAAGTGAGCACTCCATTGTTCTGCAAAATGCTGTCATTGCTTGCAGAGTTTTTAAAAGTGTAGCTGTATTTTGTTCTGTTTATTATATTCGTTAAACTGTGTGTTTTTGTCCAGAGCAATACAAATAAAAAAATCTTGTCTTTTGCATATGTAATAACATAACAGAATGAACTTGCTTGTTCTCTCTTACAGTCTGTGTAGTAACAGTCTGGGTGACCTCACTGCTGCTAGGATGGCCCTCGTTCTTCCCTCATTGACCCACATCACTGTATTGGAGTAAGACACACGCGCACATTCAGATCTCTCTTTAACGTCTGTAACATTTGTCACACATTTGTCCCGAGGTTAATGCTCTTTATGCGTGTGGCTTTTCTGAAGTATTTCAGAAAACAACATCAGATACGAAGGGTCAGTGAGTCTGTCCAAAGCAATAATGTGCCTGAAGAACCTCACCAAGATGCAGTAAGACTCTTCTCCTTGTTGTGTTTTGGGGATTAGGACTGTGGTAGATAACCATTTTTACTTCTTATTCACATTATAACACTGAATAATGGGTTTCTGCTTTTTTATATCAGTCTGACCTCTGTTGGGACTCCAGAGCTGTGTGCTGTAGCTTCCAGTCTGGCTCACTGTCCCCTCATACAGCATGTTGGGTAAGAGGAAAAATGAAGATACGATTGTAAATAATGTTATAAACACATAAGGGTGAAAGGATGAGTGTGCTGTATAATGGAAATAATTGTTGTGCCTGTGGAAGAATTAAAATGCCATGTCATGTCTCTTGAATTTATTGGATCCATCTAATAGAGAATTCAACAAGGAGAAGCAAAGTACATAAATATGATTGCTTCTAATTTGGTATATGAGGCCTGTGAGACTTAATGTTTGGAGGTTATTGCTTGTCTCAAAATGTCACACACACTCTGGCTCTTTCTCTTTGTCTTTAGTTTGGGATGGAATAACTGCGGGGATAACGTGGCAGAGGAGCTGGCCAGAGTCATGCCGCTCTGTCATAGGCTGAGTGTTATAGAGTAAGTTTAAAAAAACACACACAGACACACACTTAACAGAGTTATTGTTTTGTTTTTTATTATTCTTCCTTCTTTCTTGAAGTTGATCTCAATACTTCATTATATTTTTTTATTTTTTAAGTTATTTAAGATTGAGTTTTCTCTGCAGTAAATCTGACAGCAGCAGGATGATTGGTTGATAGTGGATGAATTCTGTTTGGGTAATTACTTACTATTGTATAAAGTAAACGCTCATAATCATCAGGGACACAGGAAGAGATGTGAAAAAGAGATAGAGAAAGAAATATTCTCCAGTGATTATGTTATGAATGAAAATATGAAACAGTTTGTTTAACTGTTTTAACTGTGTCTCACTTTTTATAATTTTTTACAAACCAAAAATAATTCATGGATTAAAAGAGGAAATGATCAGATTGTTCTTTAATGAGAAATAGTCATAAGTCCTGAACACAGTTGTTTTAGAATTAAGTAAAACTTTACCACCTCATTTTGGTTTATTAGGTAATCAATGTTTAAAGGACCAACATGTAACTCTGACCCCTAGTGTTTAAAATGGGTACTGTAGTCCAAATACAAAACATTGTAGAGAGCTGTCTCCCCGCGCCCCTCCTCTCTAGAGTGGATGCACGTGTTTGCTGCCATGTACCAGCTCTGCATCGATCTGTAAACCTTTCTGCGTTCTAACCTCTCTCCATTTTTCAAAATCATCTCCAATATTGATCCTAGTTTGAGCACGTTTCTGCTCGTGGAGCTTATTACAAACATGCAGAGGCTTTTTAGGTCGGGTACAATCACTTCTATCTGAACCACTTCTCTTGCCCGCTTCCATCGACCTGATAACTGCTCTCATATCTGGCAAACCGAGGGGCGTCCAAAACGGCTGTGTGGGGGTGTCTTAAAAGCGTCTACCTTCTCTGGTCCAAACAAATCCAGAGCATTCAGGAGCAGAATCTAAAGTTAGAAGGAGTTGTCAGAGCAGCCAGCACTTCAACATAGCATGTTTCCTTAATGTCTGATCATATAGTAAGGTCTTTTTATGATTTAATTCAGTAGATATCTTACATACTGGTTCTTTTGTTTTCTTTAAAAGTTCTTTATTACAATCAATCAAATGTAGGTTTAGGTCACAGAGTTCCTCCTTAATTTTGTAAGAAACACTCTCACACATGAGAGAAAATAAAGCATGTTTATAATTATTTTCTTCCAGTCTGGAGTCAAACAGTGTGAGTGTTACTGGAGCAGAAGCCCTGTTTGAAGCCTTACAGTCGTGTCCTGCTCTGCAGCTCATCAGGTAAACTCTTTCAGACACCTGTGGATGTGTTATAAGCTACAACACCTACTACACACCCTGTAGTTCTTCTTTAGTCTACAGTGTTTACATGTACAATGTGTTCAGTGTTACATGAGGGATATTTAATGTCCTGCTGCTGTGCTTTACAGGCTGTGGAGGAACAAGATCACTCCCAGTGAAGCACAGAGTCTTAGTCTTCAGGACAGGAGGCTGAACTTCTCATCCACGTGATCTGTATTACGTCCTCTTAATAACAATGTGCAGGTGAATCACTTCCACCACTCGTTCATGCTCCAGCCTCTAAGTGAGTTAGAATAAGTTGTCCTTCAGTATAACCATAAAACATTATTATGAATGATCTTAGAGAAAAAGCCTGAATGGTGTTCATGATAACTACTGCAGATGATGTTACTCAAGAGTAAACGACTATTGTGAGGTCTGCAATAGAACAAAGGTCATTTGGTTTGACTGTTTATATGTACAAAGTTGCCTGTTAACATGCCTGTTGAAATGCATAATTTTAAGAGCTGTTTAATGGGACTATCTCACTCAGGTGAAAAGTGGAATGTCTTTAATGTATTTATTTTGAAAATGTCTTTTTGAGCTGTTCAAACTTTGCACTAATTGGCCTCTAGTTTCACTGCTGTAATCTGGCAGATCAGCTGACAGTGTGACCCACTTCTATGACTCTGATGTTGTTATAATGTGTAGGTATTTAGTACATGAAACGTGCAAATGTTGAGCGTAAAAAGTGTTGACAGAAAGCTGGCAGACACCACCCCTCTCCGTTTTCTGCATCCAGATAGGAGCCAGAATCTTATATCATATGCTCACTGTTAAGTCCCTACAACATCATGTGTTACCTTATGATTTCATACATTTATACTAAATTGACTTCGTACAGTAAGTTTATTGTGACTGAGTGATACTATAAGTTATTTGGAGACTACAAATGATCAAAACAAGCCCGAAGATTGATCTGCACCTGATTTAAACACTCAAATGAAATGATGAAAACTCAGATCAGAGTGAAGTGAGCGAGCTGAAACAAAGCAGATAGAAGTAATAAAATAAAGAACTACAAATTCATTCAACCTTTGTTTATACTCCAGAGAGCATTGTGGAGGTAGCCTCATTTACGATGATAGAGAGTCATTCCAGGATTAATTAAAAGGCAGACAACATATCATTAAGAGAACTAGAAGACAGATGAATACTAGACTACTAACATCAACAAGCTGTGGTTTTCTAATATAAGAATAGAGGACAATTAAAAGGAAATACTAGACGGTAAGAAAATGTCTAAAATTTACTGAGATGAGTTCTAAAGAGAGCTCGAAAAAATAATACAATAAATACAACACTTTTTTAAAACAGTTACAAACGGAGGTTTAATATTAGGTTTCAAAATTGCCCAAAAGGTCAAAAGGTTCATTTCCCTCAAGGAGATGTTGATCGAGGAGATAATGCTCCAGAACTTAATTTTATATTCATGATTTATGAATATTATACTAGTGTATGGGGTTTCACAGCTGCTTTTGGTGAAACAAACACAAAAGGATAATCGACTGGTATGCATATGGAAGTGTTTCATGTTGAATTAGCCAGACTACATATCTGAGCCTGTATGAGACTCTTTTTATGTTTTAGATGATAAAATGTGTGCATTTTGGGAGCTGCATGTAAATATGATGCATCTCTCTGAAGACAGGTGGATTTCAGTGGTCAAGTGGAACATTGAGAGTTAGCAGATAGCAAGAATAACCCACATAGCTCATTCTGCCTCATAGACCCACCTCTATAGTCTCTCTTCACGCTGTCACTGTTACTCCTGCCAACACGCACCGCAGTGGACCTAGAGGCCAATGTATCAAGAATTCCCAGATAGAGTGACATTCTATGCGGACTCTACTTCGTGGAGTCACTTTGCACTGTTTAGTGTTTACAATAATGAGAGACCACAAGAGTGAAAACACAACAAACCACACACACACAGCAAAGGAGACAAGGGGGACTCCCCTCCCAGGTTGTGGTCTCTTATTAGGTTTGCATATTTATCTCCGCTGTTCTCATGGAAGAAGTCATCAAATTATTATTTTTATGTTATGGATTTTAGCTGTGTTTCTAAGTTTCCTGAATTTAATTATGGTTTTGTTTTTTTAAGACAGATCTTGTACACTAATCTCTGCAAGGACTTTGTATCGTAAGCAGAGATGTTTTGTAGTTGTGTTTTTGTGGCTAATTTATTTTTCAGTTTTGACTTTGAGTTTTGTTTTGTACTTTAAATGTTCTTTTCTATCTTCACATTCATTCATTCATTCATTCTGACTTGCACTGATATGTTGATTAAACATAAGACCCCCTTCAGTTTGGGCCTCTGTTATTTTCTGATACCACTGACTTCTCGTTTAAAATTAAGTGCAACACATGAGTAGAAGTTCAACGGTTTTGTTGTATTAAACTTTAAGTTCTGAGAGTAGATCGTTTCCCTTCAACATGAACAAGGACTTTATTCTTACTGATGCCAACAAGAGCAGCTGAAGTGAACTAACAGCTGTGTCTGAAGACGTCACAGTGCTGCCATTCATACTGTGAATTCATCTGGCACCCCCTTGTGGTTGAGATTAGTAGTGTAAATACAGTAGACAGCAGATCCTTTAGTGTATTTGGGATTCACAGATGCAAATGAATACATGTCACATTAACCACAGTAATCCTAATGTCTGGTTGTCTGTGACTGAAACCACTGCACAACACAAATGTTTCAATAAAGTTGTTTTCTTGTATCTGACCAAAAAAGGTAAGATAATACTTTATTGATTTGCAGAGGGGAAATTTGGGCCTTGCACAAATGCAAAGTAGATAAGAATAGATATAAACAGAGTAGACAAGACAAATACAAATAAAATAGGAGGTAAACACTACTGGTTTACATATGTGTAAATAGAAGTATACTGGACAATAAGGACAGTCTGTGTAGTCAATGGCAAGCTAAAGTGATGTTTCTAAGTGACATGGTGTGATTCATAGCAACACGTTATGTAGATCCCAGGTAGCAATTTAACATACATTTTGAAATCCCAGTGCTTGCTGTACAGTGGTATGATATACCACTGCACAGCAGTTTATTTAACTTAATGCACTTTTCTGTGCTGTGTCTGAATTGTTTCAGCCTCTGGCTCAGTGTGGTTGGAGTACCTGCTTTTCTCGAGCTGTGGATTTTCTGTGTTTCTGATGTTATCTTTTGTGTACCTGTCGTGTGTCTTGATGCGTTCTGAAGATCTAATTTCCTTCAGGATAATAATAATGAAGTTGAAGTTTAACTCTATAGCTATTAAAATTCACATTTATCACTTTTTTTCCACTAGGTTATTTAAAAAGGGAAACATATTTTTACCCACAACATGTAGGCTATTAAGTGCTAAAGCTACTTTAAGGTAGAATGTAATAATCAACACCTTTCATTAATCACTTTTTTTTTCTGTGCCTCTTTGAACACATTTTGATTTTTAAACCAGTGATAATATGGAAGAAAAAAAACTTTCCACGTGAGGTAAAGTAAAGCCATTAAATGGCTTGAAACTGAAAAGGCCCAACTAGGGACCCGAGTTGGAAATTAGCAATAGCTGTATACTCTTTATGCAGCATATCAGTTTCATTGTATTGAAACTGTTAAATTGCATTGTCCCTATATTAAATATATAGTTGAATCTGTTAATAATCCTACCAATCCACATTTTAACACTTGCTGTTAATTATTTATTTTATATCCAGTACAAGTGTAATTTGTGACTGAAGGAGAAAATTTGTGTGCCTGGATAAACAAAAGACAACTAACATCAGGCCGAACACAGGCCTAGCAGCCTTCAGCCACCATCAGGCCAGGCTTGAACTTAGCAGCAGCCAGCTGCTAACAGGCCAGGCTCAGGCCCAGCAGTCACCATCCAACAGGCTCAGACCAAGCAACCAGCAGGTCTGGAAACATCCAGTCATCAGGCCAGGCTCAGGCACAGCAGCATACCACCAAGACAAGCTGAAACACAACAACAGCAGGCTACCACCAGGCTGAGGATCAGGTCCAGCAGAAGCCGGCTATCAACAGGTCAGGCTCAGGCCCAGCAGCAAGAGAAGAAGAAATGCCAAATGGAAAGATTAATACACAGAGCAAAGAAATGACAACCACAGATGACCTGGAGGAGATAAAAAGATCCTTAAACTTTATGTCAGGTGAGCTGACGAAGTTAACATCGCAGCAGGAACGACTGATCGGATTGATAGAAGAAGTGAAAACCCTGAAAACCATGTTGACAGAGAAGGACAGAAAGATATCTGTGCTGGAGAAAAGGGTGGATGATTTGGAGCAATATTCAAGAAGAGATGATGTGGTGTTAACAGGACTGGAAACTCGACACCGGACCTATGCCTGAGCCACAGCAAACTTAGATACAATAGAAAATGCCCCGCAGGAAGAACTGCTGTCCCTTGAACAACAAGTGGTGGGTTTTCTGCACAGTAAGAACATAAACATTCAAAATGAGGCAATATCCATCTGCCACACATTACCTAGAAAGTAAGAAAAATCTAAACCTGCTATTGTAATACGATTCATTAGCAGAAAGCAGAGGAATGACTTACTAATGCAGGCTAAAAAACTGAAAGGTACTAATGTTTACATAAATGAAAACTTAACCAAAAAGAATGGGGACATCGCAACAGAGGCAAGAATGTTAAGAAAACAAAAGAAAATCACTGCAACATGGACCTGGAATGGAATTGTCTGGATTAGAGAACAAGAAGGCTCCTATGCAAAGGCGATAAGGGATCTGAAAGAGCTAGAAAAGTTAAAAAGAGGTTAATGATCCATGGTAGATGAAACATACCATATATACATACCACATAATCAAATTCAAATGAGGAAGTAGAATATAAAATATATGATTTAGATAACGAAATGGATAAAAACATATCAGTTCCTGTCCACAATGAATGTGAGTATTATACAGAGGAACAATTTAATGAAAAAGTAATGATGGATGGAACACTGTCTATAATTCATTTAAATAGTAGAAGTCTTAATTGTAATTTATCAAAAATGAAAGAATATCTAAAGCAGCTCAGAAAAAGCTTTAGTATAATTGCAGTAACAGAAACATGGTTAAAGAATGGAGATTCGGATGAGGCTCAGATAGATGGATATGAGTTGTATTATACAAATAGAATAAATAAAAAAAGGTGGAGGGGTAGCTCTGTAAATGAACTCAACTTTGAAATTTAAAATCATTGGATATATGACAACTGTTGTAAACAATATTATGGAAATAGTCAGAGTGGAAATTATTAATGAAAAAGCCAAAAATATTATGATCAGTTGTGTGTATAGAACGCCAGGCTCCTGTGTACTGTCCTTTACAGACAAAATAACAGAGTTGTTTGACAGTATCTATAATAAGAGTGTGTTTCTATGTGGGGACTTTAACATTGATATGAAAAATCCAAGGGACTGAGAACATCACGTGAATTCATCAACTCAATGCATAGTTTGAGTCCGTTTCCTATGATAAATAAACCAACAAGAATCACAGCGCAAACTGTAATTGACAATATTTTTACAAATATAACGGAGAGAATAGTTGTGAGTGGGATCTTAATGACTGATGCAAGTGATCATTTACCTGTCTTTACAGTTTATACCAACTATAAATGTAATAAAAGGCAAATCTCTACAGAAACTTTTAGAAGAAATAGATCACAAGAAGCTATACAAGCACTAAAAGATGACTTAAAAAAACAGAGATGGGATGAGGTGTATGTAAGTGATGTTAATTCAGCTTATGATTCATTCATGAAATTGATAGAGTTGTATGAAAAAAAACTGTAAAACAAGGTGTTTCACCAAGAAAAATGCAATTAACAAACCATGGATGACTAAAGGGCTACAAAATGCCTGCAAGAAAAAAAAAAAAAATTCTATACATGTTTTTTAAAATTAAGAACGAAAGTGGCAGAAAACAGATATAAGACATATAAAAACAAATTAGTATAGATAGTTAGAAAGCAAAAAAGGAATACTATAGTGAGTTACTAAACAAAAATAGAAACAATATGAAGGCTACATGGGGGGTAATAAACAGTGTAGTAAAGAAAGATAAAGTAAAATCAACTTTTCCGGAATACTTTGTGAAAGATGATATAGACATATGTGACACAAACAAAATAATAAATGAGTTCAATAATTACTTTGTAAATGTAGGTCCTTGTCTTGCAAAAAATATTCCAAAAAGAATGGAAGATAATGCAGATGGAAATACAATGAAAGGTAACGTTAACAGCATTTTTCTTGGTAAAGTAGAAAAGGATGAAATACTGAAAATTGTAAAAGATTGTGCAAGTGAAGGATCAACTGACTGTGAAGATATGGACATGATATTAATAAAGAATATAATTGATTTGGTTATTGAGCCATTAACATACAGTGGGTAGTGATAGTTGACTTTGTGGAACTTTCTCCCATCTCCCTTCTGCATCTCTGGAGCTCAGCCACAGTGATCTTTGGGTTCTTCTTTACCTCTCTCACCAAGGCTCTTCTCCCACGATTGCTCAGTTTGGCTGGACGGCCAGGTCTAGGAAGAGTTCTGGTCGTCCCAAACTTCTTCCATTTAAGGATTATGGAGGCCACTGTGCTCTTAGGAACCTTGAGTGCTGCAGAAATTCTTTTGTAACCTTGGCCAGATCTGTGCCTTGCCACAATTCTGTCTCTGAGCTCCTTGGGCAGTTCCTTCGACCTCATGATTCTCATTTGCTCTGACATGCACTGTGAGCTGTAAGGTCTTATATAGACAGGTGTGTGCCTTTCCTAATCAAGTCCAATCAGTTTAATTAAACACAGCTGGACTCCAATGAAGGAGCAGAACCATCTCAAGGAGGATCAGAAGAAATGGACAGCATGTGAGTTAAATATTAATGTCACAGCAAAGGGTCTGAATACTTATGACCATGTGATATTTCAGTTTTTCTTTTTTAATAAATTTGCAAAAATTTCTACATTTCTGTTTTTTTTCTGTCAAGATGGGGTGCTGAGTGTACATTAATGAGAAATAAAATTAACTTTTTTGATTTTAGCAAATGGCTGCAATGAAACAAAGAGTGAAAAATGTAAAGGGGTCTGAATACTTTCCGTACCCACTGTATATATGTAATTTGTCATTCTCAACGGGAGTATTTCCTGATGAGATGAAAACAGCCAAAGTGATTCCACTTTCCACTAAAAATGGAGACAAACATATTTTCTCCAACTACAGACCAGTATCCTTGCTTCCACAGTTTTCAAAAATATTAGAGAAATTATTTGCAGCCAGATTGGACACATT